TCCATTAGAAGCCGACATTGTCCCTGATGAACATAGGCTACTTTTTTAAATTTTTTTTTAATTTTTTTTTTTTTATTTCATTTGTGTTTTAATGTTTCCGAAGCGAAGCGAGGGCGGGTCGCTAGTCATGAATAAAATAGAATCTTCAGGGTGTAACAAAAACGATTCCTCCAATGAACACTACTCTAACTCAAAATTTTGAAATTTTGGTTTTCCACGCAAATCGCTTCACTATGTTAAAAGTATTACAATTAATCATTATTGATGGGGTTCGAAGCAAGAGTGAATCAGCTAGTTACACAAAAAAAAACCATAAATATACCTGCAATAATAAAGATTTTATCAACTTTTTTCGTTTAAACGCTCCTCCTGTAAATCTACGAATTTGAAGTTAGCGTAGTGTTCATTGGAGGCATCGAAAAAATATAAAAGTTTATGTTTTAAATAGATTTTCTCATTTATTTTTAACAGTAATCTATCTACAAAACAATACGATATCGATTATCATTTACCTCCGAAAACTGTAAATATCGCTTTACTTAGGTAGACCTTCTAAAACCGAATACGTGGGTGAAACTATCGATTGCTTTATATACCTAGACATGATTTATCCTATTAAATCAAAGTTTTCATATAGAAAAGAACATGGTATTCGCATCATCATCATCATCATCATTCTTTCCTATTACCCTCTGCTGGGGTGTAGGGCTCGAATCAAATTTTTCCATTTATATCGGTCTTGGGCAGTCTGTTCTAGCTCCTCCCACGTCATGCCCAAGACCACTAGCTCCTGCTCCACCGAGCGACGCCAAGTTGTTCTGGGGCGACCTCTCTTCCTTTTGCCAGACACTTTCCAGGTCAGTGCTCTCTTTGATAGGTAGGTATCGGGCTTTCTCAAAGTGTGACCAATCCAATGCCACTTCCGCGTAAGGATCTCCTTCTCCATTGGTGTCTGCTTAGTGATCCTCCACAGCTCTTTGTAAGTGATCTTTGGTATTCGCATGCAATTGTCAAATGTTATGTACGAGTTTATTATGTGACGAATATTTGTATGTTTTACTGCGCCTTCTACAGATTGTTAGATAAGATAGCCTCACGATGACAGGACATAGCTCATACTTTCAAAGTGATCGACTAAAAAAATCGAACGTGCAATAAATAAAAAGACTAGCATTGGAAATGGGATGTAACAAACAAAAAAAAACATCCAATTTTATTCACAATCTACGTCAACTCTGAAGAAAGGCCAATTGAAAACAAAAGAAGAGCAGAGGTACTTTGAACAAACATGTAATTTCAGCGTAATTACAGCACAGCCGTAAATCGTATGAGTTATGTTTAAAACGTGACGTCCAAACGAGACGACAGAAATAAAGAATCACAACATGGTTATTATTATAAACAAGATATACTGTACGGCACTTTCTTGTCTCGAATTAACGATACACGATAACGCAAAAAAGGCAACATTCCCTATCATAATGGAGGAATCTAGAGTTGTTTTATATTTATATTCAACTGTACATGTTTGTAAAATCATGATAACATACGAAACGCCTATGTGGCTTAATATTGCTTGAAGATAGTCTTCCCTGTTAGATTTAACGTCCTAAGATTTCTAGTGTATTTAATGTTGTTAATCAGGGGATTTCATACAAAACAAAATTTTACAATTGTATAAATAAAGGTCATCATCTTAAGGCAGCATTTTTTCTATTAATATGTAGTATTTACGATGTTGTTATTCTGTATACTTTTACTTCGCATTTAAATCCTATTATACTTTACTAGTGGTTCATTGGAAGAGCAGTCACGGGTGAGTTTGACTCATCTTTATATGTACATACCGTTTATATTTGTGGTTTGTCTATGTTGTACATAAATACCAAAAACATAATCTGTTTACTTAAAATTTGCTTGATAGATAACTGTTGTTACATGTTTTTTGACATGATCCATTATTGTTATTTACATACAAATAAAGTAGAATGAGTCTGGTCAGAAAGACAGGAGTTGTCGTGCTCGTACCGCATTCCATGTTTGCCTAAATCGAATAAAGATAATCTTATTACTTCAGCGCGTTCATAGACTGTTTCTGTAGCTGTTAGCAAATCCTACCCTTCCTGACTGAGCCTTTGCTCGTCCACCTGCTCTAGTAAAACTGGAAAGGCCTCCGGGCCACCAGTAATCTCTCAAACATAAAAAAGAAAGATTAATTCATTGTCCACATAGAAAAACAAAATCTAATCGATCAAATGAAATAAAAACTGTCATTTCGTGTTCCGATGTCATCGTATGATTCCGTTATCTATATTCGAAACTTCCATGTGATACTAATATTGTGCTTCGAGTTTCCAGCGCCGCCAACCAAACGATTCGTGGTTCGATCCTTCGTAGAAGCACACAATGGAGTTGTAGCAGAATATCGTTTTCAGTAATGCAGTTACGTGCGTGAGCACAACACAATGGACGTTGCCGTTATGCATTTCAGATGTCGCTCTATTGTACGCGGCAAGTAACGGTACCCGCATTTCACGAACACACCTAGATAGATACCAGTATTTATCGACCAAGCATTCTCTTTTTGGTCGATACTAGGTTTTAGCTGGCGTAATTAGCCAAATATTTTCTAAAGTTATCTCCATACTGAATTGTCATGATGATACTAACTTAATTATATGTTTAAGTGTGATTCTTTCTCTTCAACACTCAATCTTGTGGTTACCGGAGCCCATAGACATCAACAACGTAAATGCCACCTATGTTAGAACATGAATCCTAAGTTTCAGTTTTACAGACTTCCCCACCCTTCAAACCGAAGCGCATTACTGCTTTACTGCAGAAATAGGGAGGGTTGTGGTACGTACGCGTGTGAGCTCACAATACGCAATAACCACCAGTTGTTACGCACATTTCTTTTTTTCGGGTTTTCTTTTTATTAAACGTTATTCTTTCACAGTGGAAGTAATTCGTGAATATTTGTCGAGTACGTATTTCGTTGGAAAAATTACTACCTGTCATCGAGATTCGAATTCGAACAGTCACATAGCACTACACATGCACTGAGTGTCTTATCCTTTAGGGCATAGGATAGACTTAAATTTTGTGTCAAGTTTTGTCCATATTGTGGATTCAGATAAATATTCACAGTGTAGCGGGCTTAGCTTAGTACAGTATGTGTGTCTTGTTAATAATTATAAGCAAGACACGACAGTTTGCAACCTGTTTATTGTGTGACGAGTCTATACAGACTGTACTAAGCTAAGCCTGCTACAATAGGAATAATGCTGGTATTTTCATATTTCATATTTAATTTACATATTTTTCTATAGCAGCCCACATTAACAGTACAGATATAGGAACCTTGATTGTACAAATCTAGTTTAATCACATCATTTATATCAACATTTTCATGACTGGTTTCGGTTATTTAAAATTGAGCATTGTTTTAGTAGTCATTTCCGGACTGATTACCTGATTTTTATTGCTTAGACATGTGGACGAGCTCACAGCCCACCTGGTGTTAAGTGGTTACTGAAAGCCCATAGACATCTACAACATAAATGCGCCACACACCTTGATATAAGTTCTAAGGTCTCAGTATAGTCACAACGGCTGCTCCACCCTTCAAACCGAAACGCATTACTGCTTCACGGCAGAAATAAGCAGGGCGGTGGTACCTACCCGTGCGGACTCACAAGAGGTCCTACCACCATTTTTTTGTCTCTGCTCATTCAATTGCATATTATAAAAAAAAATGGTAGTTTTAATATTTAGGAATCTGTTTCTTAATATAAGAAAATATTTATCAGTAACACCATAATCTTCAGCCTAGTCCATAGCAATCCACCGCTGGATATAGGCTTCTCCAATTGCACACCATTGAGCATAACCCTGTTTCCCTCATCCAGCTCTTGCCAACCACCCTTTATGGATTATCACTACACCAAACCTGAATGAACGAAGTCCTCCAATTATAGCAAGTCTCATATCATCTAAAATAATTTTTAAAATGACATTATACATATAGAACATTATTTCAATATTGTTGTATGTTATAGACTCAGATTTTATAGGTTACAGGTAAATTCCCACAAACGATATGATGGAAACTTTTAAAATTGAAATTAATCATTATTAAATGTTGATAAAGTTACTTAGACAAGTTAGTTTAAATTTTACTGTTAGAAATTAATTAATTCAAAAGGTTTCACAATTTCATAATAATATGGTGGTTCACATCATCACCCACACTGTGTTTCTAACATTTTATGAAATTATTCTTGTACTGTACCATCAGGCTTTGAAATTAATTATTATTCACTTTTTATCTTTATATCTTCAAATAGAATTTGAAGTTCTTTACAGGAGGTTGTGATTCCTAATGTTGATTGATCATTGTGAGCATTTATGATGAGGTGGAGCTCGGGGCGGCCACAGTGGTAATGGAAAAACAATAGAAAAATATGAGCAGTTATTAGTGATTTTTAATTGAGAAATAAACTCCTCTCTAAGTATTCAAAAACGTAGAATACTTTTCAGAAGGAAAATATAGTATTCCTTTTTAAGTAATTTCATTAACCTAATAACAGGAAAAGAGAAATAACAGCATACAATATGACTATATTGTTGAATTTTCAATTGGCTAATTGATATTTTCAGTATTGCATTCTTATTTTTAATTTTATTATTATTTTAGTTTTACTGTTTACAATTTGCCAGTACAATTTTTACAGTAAAACAATTAGAATTTAAAAGATAACTAAATCTAAAATACCTAGTTTTTTGTATCGAAAAGTATTTCAAAACATTACCCAGATACTAAAACTTTTAAATTAATTCCAATTAGAAGAACATGCATATTGTTTCTCATAAGTCATATGTTTACCTCGTGCGTTTAACTCTGAGAACTCACTACGTAGACAGCAGCCTACGTTGATAAGTTGCAGCTGCTTTATCAGTTTATAAACGACTACACAAAATGGTTATTAGAAACTCACACGTTCGTTGGTACACAGGCAATCGTTTTGTATCGCTCGCCCGCTAGAAAGCAACCAACCGACGCAGAACTGCGACAACCAGTAATTTTCCACTAAGTATTTTTACACTAATCACGCCAATTCACATTAGGGTCCACGCTCACCTTTCCAAGTTAATTTTTTTGCTGATTGATCCCACTATCATGCTGAAAGAAGACACGAAAGCGGACAAAGGGGCCTTCAAAACACAGCCATTTTGAAACAGTTAAACAGAATGTTACGAGTACATACACGAGTGTACAATGTCTTCAGATTGATAAGTAGCAACACGCTTAACCGTTCACACTCATTTTTATGTTTTAGCACAATATAAACTAACACTAAACATCACACACTTTTAGATACGATTTCACTTCATACTTTCGCACACACCCGCTTACGTCGCAAAGTCCCTGATGGACAGAAGCGACACGAACTTGCACGAACGGAGAATAGTGAAGTGCGAAGTTAGCCAAACGGGTTGTCTGCAATCAAACAAAATATAACTACTAATAGTAGAAATATTCTTGACAGATGACAAATTAGTTGTGTTTAAATTTAGAACCTTTTTATGTCCAACAATGAAATTTAGAAATAAAAAAATTGGCTACAATGAGTTCGGCTATGGTGACAAAATTTCTGGACTATATAAATAATAATAGACTAGGATGGACCAGATAATAGTACTGTTCAGTTTACGTTAAGAACTATTACATGAAAGAACGACTGCAGATACCGCATAATGAAATGTTACAAAATTATAGACTTATGTCTGTCTTTAAAATAAGGCCAATGTCTTCCAGAAATTGGGCTCGCTTAGAGCAATATTAAATGACAAGAATATGTTAAATAAACTTAACGTTTTGAGAGAAATAACTAAAAAAAAAAAACAATCATCACGGGTCACCACACTTTATTAGATGAATCCTACTACTGACAGACATATCACTACATACATAGTACTTACTACATACATTCATGCTACATACTATGACATATCGTGAAAATATGGCGCTACACCAACAGTCGATCTGACCCGACGCTATAGATGTTTCACATCAAAAACGAAGTCGCCCTAAAATCCTACTAAAGTCATAGTATTTTTTTATATAGCAACATTCTACCCCGGAACCTGTGCTGTGAGGAAAAGGCCCTGTCTTCAACTTATGAAAACAAGGCTTTTTTGTTTATGAATGACAACTAAATAATTATTGTAAATTGTTAATGTAGAGCAATTTACACCTCCTAGCATCGGAGCAGAGCTCTTAATATCTGGCACTCAGCGTTCATACAGTGTATTTACAGAGATATTTTTTGCCACGTATTATTTGGGTCTGGAATGAAACCCCTCCCTCGGCGTTTCTCGGGCCCGGGCCGTATGACATGTCCTTCTTCAAACGAGGCTTGCGGAGAGTACCTACTCGGCGGCGGGCAGCAACTTGGCTGGGCCCCTGGTATTGCTAACGCCCATGAGCGACGGTAACCACTCACCAGATGGGCCGTCTGCCTTAAACGGCAAGAAAAAATTATGAGTTGTAGTTTGACAGTTTTTAGACAATATATCGGAGGTAGGTACGCGAATGACGCGTGTCAAAAAAGTAGGTACCCATGATACGGGTCACGCATTTATGTGCAGTGATTTCCTGTCACGCCAGAAATCAATTCATAAATTAAAATTCAGAAATAACTTTCGCATTGAGAATCGACGATTAAATTAACTTTATTTTATAAGAAGACACGTCAGGGATTCAACTCGAGTCTCCTTAGTATCGCTCGGATGACTTAGCTTACATCTTTCTATTTCTAGTATTTTTCTACTATATATAGTATGTTGTAGAGCTTTAGTAGATCTTAGTTATTTTTGTTTGTGGTTATGGCTTTTTTTTAACTTTTTAGTATTAATCCTAATTTTATATTTCTGAGTCGAGAACTTGTTTGATGGTGGTCCTGATGAAGTGTGGGAAAATTGTTACATGGATTTTTTATAAGAAGTTTCAGTCTCTATTTTTATTAAAATTTACAATTTTATTAAGAAACGTGGTTTCGACTTCGCTCTACAAAATAATTGGCTGTATGACTTACGTTCCTTTTACCTGTCCGTTGTGTAGTAGATGAAGTTGACGCTGAATACCAACAATCTATGGTTTAGCGCGGGTTATTCAATTTTGTTGCTTAGCAACCAAATGAATTCTCAATTCGTTTACATCCATTCATTTGATTGCGACTTTTGTTAGTTACTTTACTGCGCGTCAGTCAACTAACTGTGTGAAACTTGCAGTACCGAATTTTATAGTTAACAATATTTATGGGCATAAATTATATTCTAGGCATTGATGTCCATATATTTTGCGTTTGTAATGATTAATGCCGATATTCTATAAATGCACTCAGTGTAAGCAGTGATTATTAAATTAATCTAGAAGACGTACTAAATATTATGAACATTATTGTGTTAACGATATATTTTATTTATGTTTACAATGTAATGGCTAATGATTACGACGACGATGAGAAATGTGAGTGTAGTTTTTACTTATCTAATTAATTAATTAAATTCTGTTACTCCGACATGCTTACAGTAAAGGTAAATGCGTTTTTTTTTCTATTTGCGCTCGAACACGCTTTAATATATTCTAAGAGAGCTCAGTTTAGAAATTATAGTAAAATTATAGATTTATTACATTTTCGACACTCGCCTAACAAATTAAGTTTACCAATACATCTCTAAAATGTGTTATATCAATATTTCGGTCAGTGTAACTTTATGAAAGTTAACCTACCTTTAGACTTCAAGTCTCAAGGTAGGTGATAGTATTCACGTTGTAATTTCTATGAGCTCCGGTTACCATTTAATCCAAATTAAATCCAATTTTTTTACCATCGCACCGCCCGCCACCCTAGTAAATAAATAAATAAATATTTACTAACAATCACGCCACGTTAACTGGCCCCGTGATAAGTTCGTAAAGAACTTGTGTTACAGGTACCAGATAACGGATATAAATGTAAGATTTTTATTATACACATACATATATTTAATATACATCCATAACCCTGGAAAAGACATTTATATTTATCATACAAATATCTTCCCTTGGCGGGATTCGAACCAGCGACCCCCTTGTGTAGTGACCATGTCACTTACCACTACATCAGACGGCCGTAGAGTTCATCCATACTACATGGAGCCACTGTGTTCATCCACAGTGCGTTTCCAGAGATCTTTTTTGCCACGTACCATCCGGCTTTGGAATGAGCTCCCCTCCACGGTGTTTCCCAAGAGCTATGCCATGTCCTTCAACAAACGGGACTTGTGGAGGGTATTAAACGGTAGGCAGCAGCATGGCTCTGCCCCCGGCATTGCTGACGTCTATGAGCGACGGTAACCACTCACCATTAAGTGGGCCGTATGCCCGTCTGCCTACAAGGAAAAAAATCGAAACAAACGACTTTCGATTAAGGCATGCCAACCAAAGTCATAATGTATCATCATCATCATCTCAGCCTGTCTACTGTTCACTGCTGAACATAGGCCTCTCCAACTGATATCCAGTGCGGCCGGTCCGTTGCCACTTGCATCCAACGTGACCCAGCAATTTTCACCAGGTCGTCGGTCCAACTGGTAGGTGGCGGTCCCACACTGCGTTTGCCAGTACGTGGTCTCCGCTCGAGGAACTTTCTGCCTCATCGGCTGTCCGATCTTCGCGCTATGTATAAATCAGCTATAATATCAATGATACCATACGGTATGTCTCTCAAACAACGAAAATCGATCAGTAAAATGCACCTAACCAGAAACTAAATAAAACGTACAATATTCAAGGGTACCAAACTAGGACTTTACCCTGTATTACCGGTTCTAGAATCTCATAAGTGATGAAAACAAGTACACCCAGATCACAAATAGAAAGTGACTGCGGCCAGGAATCGAACTCGTATCCCGTGATATAGTAGTTAATGCCACTAACCACGCCTAACGACACAATATATAATGGACAGAGCTGCGATTGAGATCGATGAGAGATGTAACTAGTTTGCGTAATGTGAGAAACGCGTTCGTAATGAAATTAGTAAATTGGAAGAAGAAAATTTACAGGCTTCAGACGATTGGTATGGAGAATAGATAAAAATACAAGGGTTGCATTGTATTTTTAGACAATTCCTGTTATGAATCCCGTGTTAAGAAAAAACTAGTTTTGCAACCATGAATCCACATAGGAAACTAAATTTGAAAATATACGTAATTATTTTGTAATTCAAAGGGCTTGTAATAAATAAAGGTTACCAAAGAGAACCCCAAAAGAAGAGCGAGACCGCTACTATTCACCAGTGGCTTCGTGGTATGCAACAATCCTTAGATAGTGAAGGGAGGGAATTTTGAAAAACAATAAATGAATTAAGAGTTGGTGCTTGTTTATTGATATTCTAAAAGCTTTTAGTGTTCCCATAAACTCTTACCATAAAGCGAATGCTAGGAAAGAAAGGTTTTCGAGTTAGAACCTGGGTCGAAGTAGCGGTCCGTTGACACGAACTTGTTATTAGGACCTTTTAGCATCTACCGGAAAGTGTGTTACGACATCAGAAGGATTTACGTAAAACGACTTCACGCACAAAACCATTCAATTACGTTTCAAACTTCGAAGAATTGCCGCTAATATTTTTCTCACATTTCATTTTTTTTTCTTTCCTAATCTGTGTGCTTAGTGCGAGTTTTTTAACGTTCTCGATAGCGTAAAAGTTAGCTCATATTTGTATGGAATGGGATCGTTTGTGTACGTTTGCCGCTAGGGGCGCTGTTTCAACTGCATACAAAATGAGTTAACTTTTACGCTAGCGATAAAGTTAAGAACCTCGCACTAAGCACACTAGTAGCCTTGAAAGGTTATGCCACCGTAACCGAGCGAGGCTCCATATGGTGCTCAACTGTAGTTTCCAAATTACTGGACCAGTAATGTCTCCCTATTATAATAATCAATCCGAATCATCACAACGGTCCAGTGCGGTCGGCACGGTCACATCCGCTGTTAACAATAACGTTCCGTGTATATCCGCTATTATATGCCTTTTTGTCAGTTTACCTCGCAACGTTCGCAGCAGGATGTGTGTGCGCGACCTGTTACATAAACCTATTTATGAAAACAGCGTTGTCGATATCAAAGATTTGCTTGAGAATTCGTTTTGATTAACGAACATGTTGGATGAAAACTTCGTTTTATTTCCAAGTCAAAATCTAGAAGAAATTAAAAATATTAAAATTTATCGTCATCAGATTTTGTTATAGATTAGCTAGCTACGTTCAATGGCGCTCATTATGAGATTCCGATATTAGGCCTTTATAGGTACAATTTATTACTTTTTCTTAAAAATTGTCAACGGATTTTTTTAAATTTTCCCAACAATGTATGCCTCTGCTTCCATGATACAGGCGGTAAAGTGGTGAATTTCTTAAAAATAATTATGAAATATCTCTCGACAATGTATGTACTTAATACTTAGAAATCTACAGACGAAGTGGATTGTTTCCGGGTAACATCACGAATCTTCCATCAGTTCAATTTATTGTTAAAAAGTCCGTTTTACTAGGAGTGCCAAACTCAAAATTTTATCGAATTCAAATGCGTACTCGAATACATAATTTACATACTTTTTACAAGAGGTGGTAGGCCTCTTGTAAGTCCGCACGGGTAGGTACCACCAACAGGCCTATTTCTGCCGTGAAGCAGTAATGCGTTTCGGCTTGAAGGGTGCGGCAGCCGTTGTAACTATACTGAGACCTTAGAACTCATATCTCAAGGTGGGTGGCGGTATTTACGTTGTAAATGTCTATGGGCCCTAGTAACCACTTAACATCAGGTGGGCTGTGAGCTCGTCCAACCATCTATGCAATAAAAATAAAAACATACACAGTTACTACATATGATACTATTTGATTCTAAATGATATTATTTATTAGACCATTTGTTTTAGACCACATTCGTATTTTAATTTACGTTATCAAAACAAACATACAAAACGTTAAAGATAATATATAGATGGTTAAATGGGTAAATGGTTAAATTGTCATTAAACACGACAAAGTGCCTTTCCGTTTGTCGTCTTGTGATATAATATCATTATTTACATGCTAAATATAGTATCGCATCGAGGAAATGCGTTTCGTATAGGTACCGTAAAAGCTCGGCGCATGGTACGACTTGGTGCAAATCCTTTGTCGGTTGGTACAAGTTAAAACCTTTTAGCGTATTTTTTACAAAACACAAGACGCTTGATTGACTTGAAAAAATTAAAATCACACACGTATCAAAGATCGTAGATACTTTACCTTAATGTCCAGAATCTTAATAATTAAAAATAAAAACAGTTTTAATTTTAGTTCGATTCGATATTAAAGTTTGTTTTTGTTGTTACTAAGCTATATTTACTTATTAAAATTAAACGTTAAGTATTTAGAGAGTTCTTTTTAGTTACAAATATGCAACTTATCCGCATTTCTTATTTGGTTAAGTACATAGTTACTGTTCATTATACCGTATCACTGTATAATTCCTTGTTGGAGTGAGTAACTTTGTTAAGATATATGGAATTCTGCATCTACATAATTATATGTTCTTGTCTCGAATGTCTAATCATTGGTACTGGTAACACGAGAGAATTCCAGGCGAGCCCACTGAATGTGGAAATAACCCTTTCATCCAACACACGAGAAGTCGTCGTGGCCTAAAAGATAAGACGTCCGGAACATTCGTGTTGAAGCGATGCACCGGTGTTCGAATCCCGCAGGCGGGTACCAATTTTTCTAATGAAATACGTACTCAACAAATGTTCACGATTGACTTCCACGGTGAAGGAATAACATCGTGTAAGAAAAGTGAAACCCGCAAAATTATAATTTGCGTAATTACTGGTGGTAGGACCTGTTGTGAGTCCGCGCGGGTAGGTACCACCGCCCTGCCTATTTCTGCCGTGAAGCAGTAATGCGTTTCGGTTTGAAGGGTGGGGCAGCCGTTGTAACTATACTGAGACCTTACAACTTATATCTCAAGGTGGGTGGCGCATTTACGTTNCGTAATTACTGGTGGTAGGACCTGTTGTGAGTCCGCGCGGGTAGGTACCACCGCCCTGCCTATTTCTGCCGTGAAGCAGTAATGCGTTTCGGTTTGAAGGGTGGGGCAGCCGTTGTAACTATACTGAGACCTTACAACTTATATCTCAAGGTGGGTGGCGCATTTACGTTGTAGATGTCTATGGGCTCCAGTAACCACTTAACACCAGATGGGCTGTGAGCTCGTACAACCATCTAAGCAATAAAAAAAAACCACACATTTTCACTCAAGTTAATTTTTATTGTCTCCAATGTTTATCGATAATTTTCTTTCTTTTTTTTCTTTAATTTTTTTTTGTTTAATGACGACTTGACTTGTAATATTTTATCGTTTAGTATTGACAAGCTTTAGTCTTTTCATTAAAAGATAGCAAATCGTTCAAAAAATGATACGAAGCATTTGAATGCAATGCTCTCTTTTACTTTGTTTATTATCTATTTATAACTGACTAGCATTTATATAATAAATATTTGGAAATATACTGACTAATTCTTTTTTAGAATGTTAATAATAAAATAAATACAGTAGATACATAAAAATAATCTAAGCCTTGGTGTCCGGGATTGTGGGATAATTTATATCATTGGGCGAACACTAGATAGTAATAACAATTTCATTAGATTGCGATTTTAACTGTATATTTTTAAGGCATTAATGTACATTTGTAACTAAGAATTTTCAAAGAATATTCATAATGTACCCAAAACGAATGAGCTTTTTATCGCTAATCGATATTTCTTGTACCATACAACCAGGTTGTTTCGACTGAAACTTCCACGGAGGGCAAACGAACTCTATTCTCGGTTGTTCGGAAGATCACGCGATGTTACCCAACCTTTTGTCATAAACTATCAAACGTGGAGCCAATTTCGTTGCTGCTCTGTTTACGTCTCAGAGTACGATTCATTCATTAATATCTAATTTTTTTTCATTATTTAGATGGGTGGACGAGCTCACAGCCCACCTGGTGTTAAGTGTTTACTGGAGCCCATAGACATCTGCAACGTAAATGCGCCACCCAACTTGAGATAAGTTCTAAGGTCTCAGTATAGTTACAACGGCTGCTTCGCCATTCAAACCGAAACGCATTACTGCTTCACGGCAGAAATAGGCAGGGTGGTGGTACCTACCCGTGCGGACTCACAAGATGTCCTACCACCAGTGAAATATACCACCATTTTAGATATTAAGATTAGATTACGATATACATATGTCTAAACACCTGGAACCAACTTCGAATTTGAGCTTATTTCGAATTTTTTAACTGTTTCTATGGTCGTCGGTAAATTTAAGACAAAGAGATCCGAAATCTCAATTCTCGATATACTAGTATTCTCAAAATACTATCAAAGCCTACTAATACCGTTCACCTACCAATCACAACTTTGGATTGAAGGATTGAGGTCCACGATCTTGTGAATAAAAATAGGTGACGGGATTCAGTGGGAAAGACACTGTGCATTTGCATTTTGTGATGTTTTTCAAATGTTTGACAAATACTAACGATTCAAAGTAATAAGTGACCTGTGCTTGACTATACCTAAGTTATTGAATTATTTGTCAAAGTAAACTAATTATCTTAAATTTAGATCCATTTTAGTACTTGGATGCACTACTAAAGTACCAAATTTATGGACTATTGCAGTATTCATGATGGTATCACCAGATCAACATCAACGCACACCTCGACTGGAGGATTTCTTCTGGACGGGCTCTGGTGATGGACCACCGGCGCCTGAAGCTGAAGTGTCAGTGCCCTCAAAGCCATCCACTCCACTTGTACGCACAACTACTGTGCTCGCAACGGTTTATTTGGACTCCTATCCACCACAGGTCAATTTACTCTAAATTAACTGCAAATTCAAGTCCATCGAATTTAAATATTGTTAACTAAATTTTGCATATCACAATATTAACATATTCTCTTAGGCGGTGACAGACAAAACAACTGGAGATTGCGTCATGAATTGTGGAGAACCAGTCATACCGGACAGTTTGGAACCAGAGATTCCAGAAGACCGAAGATATTGGCTTTTAACTGTCATTCAGGGTTCAACACCAGATAGTCTTCACATGAGACTAGCACGATTGTATCAGAAGGCATTCTTGAGGTTACTACTTTCGTGTGTTTAAAAAAGTCCTTAAAAACAAAGCTTACCGCATTATAAATGATTAATTTTATATTTACAGACAACAAGAAAGACATCTAGGTATAATTAAATCTTTAGATGCACCGACAGCACGAAAGAAACACGACGTTCATTCCTTTATTGTTCACAAAGAAAATAACAAGATCTCTGAAAACGGAACACCTTTCAAATATTTTGGAGTCAACAGCACAGTTTCTTCGGTTAAGTCCATGTCCGTAGTTCCTACAACAAAAATAGTTGATCAAAATTCTAGCTCTTTAACTCCAAAATTTTATGAAGCCATCGAAATGTACCCTCTCAACAATATAGATACTGTTATTCGTATTGAACCCACAAAAATAGATGAAGCAGATTGGATTTTGGCCACACCAACAATCACTCTCAATAAGAGAGAAATCTCAGATCATAATGAACTGGAAGTAATTAAAGAGGACTTAATAGATATACCTCTAGAGAGCGAAGCAAATGAGACGATTTTGTTTAAGAGAGAAATCATACATCCAGATCAACAGCCACCGGTGCGAGTTCACATACAAAACATAACTGAGGTAAAAAAATAACAAATTGAGACTATTATTAAATTTTTTATACCTATAGTTTAAAAATAAACTTCCTAAAAACATATACTTGAATATGAAGACGATCAATTAATTATGCGAGTTATGATAGCGTTTAAAATATCGTATGCGTATGATGCTAATATTTAAAAGCTAAAATTATGAAAATTATAACATTTCATAACACAATGAAGCTGTCCAAACCACCATTGGGTATCGGACCCCATAGACATTACGTTGTGAATGTTACCACCTCTCTTGACATTTAAAATCGAGGTCTCATTTGAAAGTAAATCGGCGTTATCCTCTTTAATATGAACAGAACGCGTGACTTGTGATTAATACAGGATTGTGGTACCTACCAATGCGTCGTCCTCCCATCAGTAGAATACCACTACTCTCTTTGGGCGTGTATAACTTTTATAGCACAATATTATTCCGTCATCTTTTAACAATACGTGTTGAGTACGTATTTCCTTCAAAATTAATACCTTCGTGCGGGTTTTGAATATCGATATACTCGCATCACTTAGTACTTGAGTACACCATCGCGCTTATTCTTTAGGCCGCAATGGATTCCTAAGTTAAGAAGGCTGTTTAAGCAAAACCTTTCAGTCTCCAGACTCTGGAACGATACAAATCGTGTATGTTGTGCTGGTCGGAGGTCGGGCGGTACCCGCAGCCGTAGCGGCCAGGGATATGAGACTGGTGAGAGACGCCGAAGTGGCGCGGGAGCTTGGCGCAGTTGTCACCACGAAAGCTGAGCGTGAGTTTTAACTTAAGGCCCGGTGTATTACTTGGAAAAATCGTTCATACGAGGATTTGTGGGGGCTCTTTCAATTGAATCAACTCTGATTCGGATGTTTTTGGAACGAAGTTCCTTATGGGACGATGCGGAGGGGTAGCCTAACCGGGAAAAAACGTCCGTAACGTAAGATTTTTATTAGTAATGCACACAGTGTACCACTTAACTTTGTAATAACGTACAAAAAATAACATACTTTTTTATCATTCATTGACCACGATCTCAGAGCGTTCGTTTGCGCAATACACTAACTCTTATGCAAACAGCCGTGAATGAAGTGTACCACAATAAGCTCGCACGTTACCGAATGACCGTGGGTTGTTGCGAAACCTCCAGTTTTATTTTCTTTATACCTCGAATAGAACTTTAAATTAATATTTTTATAATAAGGAACTTCGTTCCTATCCGGTGTCCCACGACACCACACATCTTTTTTTCCAGGGAATGGTCGGATAATAGATTATGTTCGATTATCAATAAATATCAATAGTTTATTGATATTTGGTACATAGTATATTTTTTATAATTTGTTTAAGCTATGTTGCGAAATCTAACATAGAACAGAATATTTTCATGATAAGTTTGCTTAAATAGAAATTTCGAGCAATTACATTAGGGCCTATGTCTGTCTACTATGTCTACTATATCTTGCAAGCAATTTCACCCGCTCAGTGGAAGATTTTGCTTTTGTCGATACCTCCAAATTATTTGCCATAAATTTTCCTAATATTAACACACATAAGTAAAGTATCTAAGATTTTCTGAAAATAACAAATAAATATTTCGTTGGAACTCTTCTTAGCAGCATATCTGAAGGCGGCTGAAGGTTTGGAGGGAGAGGCAGACGCAGGCGGAGTCCGTGGCTCTGAGCTCTGGGCCTTGGCAGTAGGTTCTACTATAGCACTGCTATTGGTTCTCATATTGCTGGCGCTACTGTGTTTTGCGCACAGGTAAAATACCTGGTCTATCTGATTTTGTTTTTATTGAACTTCAGTTGGTTTTCTTTTAAAATAATTTAATTTGTTAAAATAAATAGCGTTCTTGGTGTTCTTTTTGGGCACCCAATGCAAATATTAAGTTGAATGTAATTCTGAACGAAAACAATTTAAAGGGTCCGCCAGAAGGATTTGCATATGGTGCTAGGACGTATTTTAAGCTGGCTTCGGTTGGTATTGCCGCGTTGCCTATTTCTGCCGAGAAGCATTCACGAGGCCCGCTGTTACATCATACAATTGAGACTATAACCTCATGTTTCAAGGTAAGAGGCGGCATTCGCATTTCGTAGTACGTAAGCTCTTTCATCCCTCTCCGGAATAAAACAAAAAAAAAACAATTACATAAAATTTCGACACTAATTGGTTTGGCCGTTATCAGTACCAGTAAATATTCCCATTACACTTTCGAACGTTAAGGAAAAAGCAAATCAAGTCTGCAGCCTCACTCCGGGCCTATCGGGATGAGTTAATGAGAGAGGCAGAGAGGAAGCAGCTCAAGCAAGTGCACGAAGAGAGGGACGGGAAGGTGCGTCTGTCGACTCTGTATATAGAGTAGTAGAGAGTAGTAAGTAGAGCATGTAAAGCTTACAATTAGACAGAACTAAGTGTATTTCCAGTCGTGATTACATTCTCTCATCTTTCCTTGTATTGGATTTAGAACTGAAGTCTAGAAATATCTTTTAAATTCAAGAATTTTCTATCGATTCATTAAAAAAATTGGTGTCGCCCTCCCTTCCCACGCAAGTTTGGCAAATTAGGTATAAATAGCTATATATAACTTTAAGGCGTTATTGGGATACGAATGAAATGGACTTTTCATTTCAGCTTATAAGCGTAGTGTCCCCGAGCAGAACCAGACCTAGTAGCAGTCTTCTGCCGATCTATAGAGCCGCCAGTGCATCCAGGTAAGATGGTAGGGTGTCTATTGAGTCCGCGCGGGTAGGTAACACCAGCCTGCCGGCTTCGGCCGTGAAGCAGTAATGCGTTTCGGTGTGAAGGGTGATACCGGTCAGGATATTCGAGCGAAATTATAAAATAATTGTTTTGTCGTCGGTCCTTGATGCGCGTGCAAATGTTCAAGTTAATATGACGTGTTGAAGTCGGCGAAAATTACGTTCAAAGTGTCCGTTACATACAAAAAAACTAAGCTAATAAAAGCTTGTTGTTACATCGAGGGGTGAAAGGCACAATTGGTTTAGGCGACATTTCGCTAAATACCCAACATTTATCTTTCTAATTAAAGATACATTTTATTTGGTATTAATTAGCGTAAACAGTTCGATGTTTATAATTGACCTTCAATTAAGTTTAATTAGCTGAAGAAGTTTTTTTGTTATCTTATTTTCCAAGTTATAAACTTTAAATGGCTCTCCTGTAAAGTTGCAAAATGTTGCTCAAACCAAACAGCCTTTCTCCCCTCGATATCAAAGCAGTAACTGCTTGTAAGTTAATTGCAAGACTTCATCAGTTCGTCAACGACATCATCGGGGGTGTCGGAAGTGGCCGCGGCACTTCGAAGGCGGCAGAAGAAGCCACACGCTTTGAGGATGCCGCAGAAGAGACGAGGTGACCATACTAACATGTTACTACTTACGAAAAGAAGTGTAACTTCTTTCGCGGTCTATAGTATTGTGGTTTTCTTCATTATTCATCCTTAAATCAAATTTCTCTTGTAGTATGTAATGCTTTGTATAAGAGAAACTACCTAGCTCGCTTTGTCCTTTCGCTCTCTCCACAGTCGAGTGGTTCGCAAGACGCTCTTGTCTATTTCTCACTCCCGCTCGTCCTAAATTGTATCTTTTCTCTCTAGCCGTAACGAAGATGTCGCGAGTTACATTTTACTCTCAACGCGCCTAAAGAGGTTTCACTTCAAAAAATAGCTCAAAATATATGTACAGGGTGTTAGAAGATCGTACTCAATTTCAAAGTAACTATAGGGTTTTTAAACATGTTTTGCAAGTTTGATCGAGACTAGGGCCCACTCAGTGCGTAGTTACCAGAGCCCGTGGACATAGCAGCATGAACGCCACCGAGATTTAATTAAGCTAGTGTTAGCCTTATTGGACAGCGTTTTTATGTTCTATATTATTATAATCTAGGCAAAGACTAAACAGTTAACATCTCTCATGTCTCTTACTGTAGACTCTTTATTTTTACTGTAGACTAGTTTTATTTTTGTTTGACAACTGTATTGTTAGAGTAAGAGACTTCAATTTGTCCAAAAAAAAAAACAAAACAAAAGAGAAACGTAAAATGAATACAAATCTTGAGGTGTCAGTGATTAAGGTCGGTTTTCGTTAGGCCACTATGCCTAAGTTTTCCGATTATAATGTTTGCATGATGATTTTTAAATGCGATTTTTTGTTTCGACTTCGTGTACCCAGTGGGCACAACAGACAGTCTGCTGGAGGCTGCGGGCGTGGAGAGCTCCGACAGTGGACAGCCGTCAGCTCCTCCAACCCCCACTTCGTATCTGTCCATGCCCTCTGTCAGCTCCTTCCCCAGGTGATATTCGCAAAGCCATAACATTACTCTGTAGATCTTATTCCAAGTACTAGTATAGTTCATGTTTTATTAGCGGGGTATATTTAGAGTTATGCCTTAAAATGGACACTGTTGTCTACGTTCTATTGTCCGAAAAACTCCTGTAAACGCTTAAGAGCTGGTGGATCCAGCCATGCCAATAAAAAGTGACAAAAGTAAATTTTATGATTTCATTAGCACTGTACATTTTTATGTTGTATTTTATCTTATGCTTAACGTCGGCTTAATGATTGAAAAATTTGAACTGATAAATTTACATTTCAACAAATATGACTGACTTTCAAAAAAGAGTGCTTCGTGAGGACACGAGACAAGTGCAGCTAACTGCTAGTGGAACTAATTGCGGAAGGCCAAATAACTTTTACAAAAATTGATTAATGTGTAAAACATTCGTGAAGCTAAAAATGTGTAAGGACTGAATAGTCAGTCTCCTTTTAAATTTAATTTCAGAGGGAATATAGTAGAGCCTCTCTCTAAAATCTTGGAGCCTGTATCAGTCCGGCATCTAGACATAGATTCTCCCATCTCCACTCCAAAAAAGAGAGAACCGAGCAACCAAGAGGTGGTGCCCAGAAGACAGATGCCTTCACAGCTGGTCAGGCTCGGAAGCATTGACAAAGACCCTGGCGTCATAGGACCTCTGGTCTGGGACTTACATTGCCAGAGAATAAAAGATGGTGAGTGCCCTTAGAATGTTTATTTAATATATAAGAATTTGGGAAATGGGTATAGGAAACGGAATAAGGTCAGAGATATATTGGTTTAAACCACTGGCTCCCATCTGCCTTGATCAAGGGGGGACATCCAAAAAACCAAATCCAATAGGAAAATTATTTTCTATGACACTGTCATATATTAATTTGAAAATAGAAAAACATTACAGTGACTGTCTGTAACATGTAAAGAGTATTATTAATAGCATACTAGAAAATAAAATTGAATACACATAAATAATTACAAAGACACCCGTTACACTTACGTTAAGCGCACTTCCAATTCGAACGCCTTCAGTTTCAAAGCCGTCATCTCCAACGAGACCTTCGCCTCGGAGAGAAGCAGGAGCTTCCAAAATGCGGCAGCGCTTCAACGAGCTCATGGACGACGCCTTCACGTTGTTCGGCAGCGCGGCCCCCAGCCCCGCCCCCCGGGACTCCGCCTCTATCGACATGGACAACGACCACAAGAGATCCGGTAACGTGACGCACAACTATACTGGATTTCAATTGACACCTACAGCCGTATACCAATACAGTACGGGATGGTGGCAATAGAACAAGAATCTGGTTTATTGTGCGCGGGCCGCGTGCGAGTAAACTCTCTCCAGGTCATCCACTTCAGTTGCTGGAGGACGACCGTCGGAGCACCGTGGTACGTTAGTAATGTCGACCGCCATCACGATCTAAGATTTAAGCCGATACGCAAGTATTTTAAGGTAGCGTCAGAACGCTACTTCGACAAAGCGGCGCGACACGATGACTCTTTATTGTGGCCGTCGCTAATTCTTTATGCGACTCAAGCGACCGGACAACGCAAAGCCACCGTCACCCGAAACATATCTTTTCTGACCCCTGGATCCCCTCTCAGTGCTTTTAGGCTCTTCAAGAACCGTCCTCGTGGAACTCGTCGATAACAACGAAGACTTCGATTAGCGAACTGACCCATAGATCGCAATTCCGATCCGGTGGTAGATTCAGCGAAGCACTGCTCTTGTTAGGACTAGAGCTAGCAAATTCCCTCAGGTTGAGCCCATGAGCTCACCTACCGGTCCAGGCGTTGGTGGAATAGCCCCTAATAGCTACCACGGAATAGGTAGGGAAAAAGGATTTAAAGGTACTGATGCCTTGGAATTCAAACTTAGCGAAACAGTACTCTATTCCATTGCAACAGAGACTGACTTACATCAGAACGGGCGGCAGTTATGCTGTTCTCTAATGAAACTTAAGCTCGTCAGCCGGTCTCTGCTAATTAAAAAGACGGGCAAATATAAAAAACATTCCAGTTGTCTCGGGAGTGACGCAGGCGCACAACCATGACGTCCGGCTCCCGGGCTCCGACACCGGCCGGGGGCACTCCGCGGGGACCGGGTACGAACTTTAGTATTCAAGCACCAACCGGGCATATCATAAAACCCCCATAGACACAGCCCACTGAGTTTCTCGCCGGATCTTCTCAGTGGGTCGCGTTTCCGATGCGGTGGTAGATTCTACGAAGCACGGCTCTTGCTAGGGTCGGTGTTAGCAACACTCCGGTTTGAGCCCCGTGAGCTCACCTACTAGTTAAGGTTACACTGAAATAGCCTCTCAAGGCTATCAGCTTAGGTAGGAAAAATAATAAGCATATATACTTATATAGGTGTATGCATACACAAAAATTCATTTAAATCGGTCCAACCAACAGGAATTCAGTGACAATCACACGTACAGTAAAATTATATAAATAAAGATGAACATTATCGATATTCTTTAATAAAATTAGCATATTCTTCAAAGTTGTTGAAATTAGTCTATTCTACGCAAGGCCGCACTATACACAGCGTAAGTCTGTACGTAGCTTGCTATAATATATTGTTACACCGGTAAGAGTAACGCCATCTACCGCCGAATAGTCGAACGAATGTCGAAGCATATCTAGTAGCATCTAGAACGCTCGAGAAGTACAACGCCATATATTGTCAGATAGCGGAAACACACATCGAAAGTACTCAAATTGTGAGGAATGTTCTCGACGATTCTAGGGATGTCGTATCGACTATAAAAGCGTTGCAGAGATGGCACGCAGTCAATCAATAATCGGAACTACTCGAAGCGAAACAGCGAACGGATCACCTGAAGCGAAGCGGAAGAAGCGAATTTACTGGTGGTAGGACCTCTTGTGAGTCCGTACGGGTAGGTACCACCGCCCTACTTATTTCTGCCGTGAAGCAGTAATGCGTATCGGTTTGAAGGGTGGGGCAGCCGTTGTAACTATACTGAGACCTTAGAACTTATATCTCAAGGTGTATGGCGCATTTACGTTGTAGATGTCTATGGGCTCCAGTAACCACTTAACACCAGGTGGGCTGTGAGCCCGTCCACACATCTAAGCAATAAAAAAAATATATAGTTTTAATGTATACTTCGGTAGAGTTTTTTTGTTTATCCCGAACCCCAGCGCGTAACAATATTTACCATTAAATCTATAGGAGGGTCAGCGGGAGTGTTTTGTCGATGGAATGCCTACGCCCTAGAACTACGGCGGCGAGGCCGCAACAGCGTAGGGCTCCGCCCCCGGCCTCTGCTTGGGGACCAACAACAGTAAGCATTCTTTTCTTTTAGAGATATATCATAATCAAATTCCTAAACTAAATAAAAGAATTTTACACGATACGGTTAGTGCAGCCCATAGACATCAACACGTGAATCCCATCACGTACTTTAATGATTAAACACAAAAATTGTGCTTTTATCGTTTTATGTCGCAAGCCTACAGATATTTTTTTAAATAATAAATTTAAAATCCCATAGGGTCCTTCTTCAATGAAATGGTGGGTGTCATTATTTGCCTACGTTCATAATTTCTGCATCAAATCATTAGGATGAAAGGGTTGTTGTGGTCCTATGTCTACTACGTAATGACGTCATCTGAACAGTCATTCATCCATTGCCTATTTCGACGATAACTCGAAGTGGACAAGGACATTCACTGTTCCATTTTAATGACCTTCGGGTCATGAGTCCTTTAACATGGGACAAGCTGTGAACTCGCCTCGCTTATGAAAAAGTGTTTTTCGTAAAATATCTATTCCAATAGGTTTTTTTTTGAAGTGAAACTTCTTTAGGCGTGTTAGGAATACACACTCTCGACAGATTCGTTATGGCTAGAAAGAAAATATACAATTTAGGACGAGCGAGAGTGAGAGAATAGACAGAGCGTCTCGCGAACCACTCGAAGGAAGAGGGGAAAGACAAAGCAAGCTAGGTCGTTTTTCTTAAACACAGCATTCCATACTACAAGAGAAATTTGATTTAAGAATGAATAATGAAGAAAACCAAAATACTATACACCGCGAAAGAAGTTTCACTTCTTCCAAAGAAGTTTCACATCTTTCACGTGCACCAAGTTGCACCAGTGCTGTTTTGTTTTCCACCAGTCTATAGGAGCGTCGGTCCCTGTGGTGAACCCTGGTTTGGTGGCGACGGACGGCCGCCTGCCCCCGGAGGACCCCGCGGTGCCGCTCATATCCGCCATCAAGACGGAGATACAGCGCATCAGAGACAACGCCACCAAACTTTAAATCCCTTCGGATCAGTAAATATGGTGAAACTTAATTCACACTCTAGAGTTGAGTAGATATTTCATTAGTAAAATTTGTTACTGTTAAAGTAGCTTTTTTAGAAGTTTTTCATCATGGGTTTAAGTTATTAGGTAATTAAATGTATCATGTATGTATGTGAAGGAAAAGCTTTTTTTTTGTATTTTTTGTATAAATCCTTTTTAGGTTTTTTTCTCATTCTTTATTAGAGCCATACACTAGGTTAAGTCGGCTTTAGTTCTTTTTTTTTTTTTAATAACGATTTATTGTATTGTATGTTTTGGATATTGTTTTATTTTATTCTATCAGTAGAAAATAAATGTTGGTTATTATAAAATGATATAATTGGTTATTTGTACCAAGACCAAACTTGAGGATTGTAATGATAATGTTAGTAACATTTTTCAGAATGAAATAATGAGAGTTATTAGATTCTGTTCCTACGGTATTCAAGGAAAATATGACATCGATTGATCTAAAAAAAATAAGAACATTTTTTTTTTGTTTTTTTCTGCTTAAATGGACGGACGAGCTCACCACTCACCTGGTGTTAAGTGATTACCGAAGCCCATAGACATCACCCACCTTGAGACATGTATTCTAAGCATCATGTTAACAGTACTACAGTAGGTATCAACATCCAGTCTTTTTCTACCCCAAAGCAGTATTGCGTTTTGATCTGAAGAATCAAACAGCCGTTACGGTGAATTAAGGTGAAGTTTCATGGACGAACAACGCGTAAAAACTAAAGTAGTAATTTTAAGATTTTTAATTATCATTATGTGCAATCTTCATAAAAACATTTAGCAATAGATAAGTATATTAAGTTATAATTTTGTTAACGTTTTACACTTTTTTACATGTTTTAATTGATTTGTTAAATATAATTACAAATTATTAACCATATATTCATTATCATGTTTAATATTTATTTAAATTGTTATATCAATCTCGTGATTTATACAGTACATTAGAAATATATTCTAATCTAGTGTTTCAATAAAATGCCAACTTTACATAATTATGAATGACGCATGTATGAATGGTAAACAATTCCTCTAGAATTTTTTCTTATTTTTAAGGTATTAATTTTTTATCTTGGTATTTTATGTACCTAGATGATAGCGGTTAGGAAATGAGTTTATTCCAAACAATTTATGCAAATAAATAAAAAAAATGTTACGATATAATACATACATTTAAGTCGTCAATTAAACTGGCATATGAAATAAAAAACACAAAAGTTACGTGATATTTTTTATTTTGTACTTATCGCAGTGTAAAAATCTTATTAAAATTATATCTAGATCATATTAGTTAGACATGCACAATTTATTTTACAATTTTTCTACATATTTACAGAAGTGTTTCACTCGTTTTGAAAAATTTATTCCAAATACAAATTTTGTATGGAATACGTTATCAAACACTAAAATCAAATACAAATCATAAAGTATATACTTAATGTCTTAGTGTCTTTGATGTATTTTATTATTTGGTTTTAATGTTTTGATGGTCGGGTCATAGCTTTACTAATTTAATTTTTTATCATTTTATAGAATACACATTCTAAATATTTAGACCCATATGAGAGCGAAATTAAATGATCTGAAAAAAACAATTGTGGGCAAAGGATAGGTGATATAAGAATAAATGTATTTAATAAAAACGTGTTTCACTGTGTGGTTCGCGTCCGCCACACGTTTAACTATTATTCATCAACTAACGGGAGACGGTACACTATTGATGAAGACAGATTGTAGGGAACGACCCTATAGTAACCGGCAAACTTCTTGAGCAAATGACCTTGACTGCGCAGAACCGAATTTTAGATCACTTTGGTGGTGAGGGTGAGGCGCGACGGCAGGGGAAATCGTATCGAGCGCGTTATTGGTAGATCAGTCGAACCTTGCGTCCCGCACCGCGCCCTCGTTCCGGTTGCTCCCAAAAGTACGCTTGCGTACAGTGAAAAGTCTATCGTTATTAATTGTTAAGTTATTTGTTATAATTGCTTGTTGACTTTGTTGCCATTGCTATTTATTGAGTGTTTGTTGATTTTTTATAAAAAATACACTATGCCGCGACAAACTGGTATAGTATTCAAAAGAAAGGGCAGAAAAATTGTGTACGACGTATATTGTTTCATTATAAAACAGGGGAAGAATGATATGGAAAAAGTAAAACAGACTTCGGAAGCAACAAAAACATCCGTGAGTACTGTTAAGTGCATTATTAACGAAGCTAAAGGCTCTAGCTTGCTCGCCGTGTTTCGGACTCCGGATAAGAAAAGATCAGGGAAGAAGAAAGTTACCGGAATGGATAGTTTCGTTCAATCTGTAATAAAAAGATGTAATCATAATAACTACATAACAAGCAGCGAAACTCCGTACCGTAGAAAGGTTTCGAAAAATTTAAAGAAGATATAAATTTTAATGGCTCGGTATGAAGTTTACGACGAATTATGAGAGCTAGGCTTCAGATGAATTCAGAAAAAAGACAGAAAATAATCGGAAGCTGGTAATTGAAAAAAGTTACATTCGATTACTACGAATCGAATATCTTCAAAAAATAATTAATTATAGACAAAAAGTAGACCGAACCGACCGAGTTGTAAACTACACCGATGATCCCTATGTCGACTCATCACGATGATAGCAACTCGGGTGATAAAAACAGTGATGATGATGATGGTGAAGATTATGATAACGAAAAAAAAATTACAAATACCAGCTTCGCTTCAACTGAACCAAGACCTGGCAACAGCTCTAGTTTTGACTTAATAGAAGGAATATCTATTTTACCCCAAGATTAAATTATTACAATTATTAACCTATATTTTTTGTTGATGTTCTCATAAATATATAAATTAATACATATGTTGATTTTAATAATTTAATTGCATTATGACGCAGAGTAAATAATGTTTTTGCACGTGAGTGTACCATGCGCAAACTTACCCCCACTACGGCAACAAATGCTCAAGAAGTTTGCCGGCTATTATACAGATACTACAGATAGTAGGGTTTTTCGCAAGCCATATGCATAATTATACGCTGCCATAACTAATTTGAAGTCGTCGTCAATTTTTGTAATGAACTACGTACTCAACAAATTTTCACGATTGACTTCCACGGTGAAGGAATAACATCGTGTAATAAAAATGAAACCCGCAAAATTATGATTTGCGTAATTACTGGTGGTAGGACCTCTTGTGAGTCCGCACGGGTGGGTACCACCACCCTGCCTATTTCTGCCGTGAAGCAGTAATGCGTTTCGGTTTGAAGGGTGGGACGGCCGCTGTAACTATACTTGAGACCTTAGAACTCATATATCAAGACGGGTGGCGCATATACGTTGTAAATGTCTATGGGCTCCAGTAACCACTTAGCACCAGGTGGGTTGTGAGCTCGTCCACCCATCTAAGAAATAAAAAAATAAAAAAAACTTGGGTCATAAGCAACGTCCATAACAAGAATATTGGTGAATCTTCATTTATTTTAAAAATCACTCATGGTTTTTGTCAACAGTTATATCTTAGTTGTTTTTAATAAATAGGTACACGGACCTTTGACCACATATATGAACTACTCAAAATGTATTAAAAAACGGAGCACTCTGAATTGATTCGCATCAGTAAAACGTATAATATCCAACAACAGTCAATCTCATAAAGACAAATAAATGTGTCTTTGTTCAAAGTCCGTATAGTAGTTGCAAACCTGCAACTTATCCGAGTGAAACACATTATCCATTCCCACACATTCTTTGGCTTCCACGTACAATATGTATTTACGATTACAAAACAATAACAGCTATGAAGTAAACGTATAATTATATTGCATAAATTGTGAAATCAGCTGACACAAAAACAGCTTTTGTGTTTGTTTTTTTTAAATAACATTTTTCCTAGCATTCCGAATGATTGATATGCTGAATCGCTCAATTTCACGATTTAAACCCCTTCCTTACAGCTAAACTTATAATAGCACAATACATCTAGCACGATCTAATTCAAATAAACTAAAACAGAAGTAAACACAAAAAAAAACAACTTTTAGTGCCTCTTGTTTTTCAACAATACACCTTAACATAAATTATTGTTTATAAAAAAAGTAAGGCCACAAAATAGATTTCTATTCTATTAAACTAAATTAATGGTCTTTATTGTACACAACGTGTAATTTAGGACTTTACTGTTATTACATTTAAAACTAATCACTGACTATTTCGTACAGGAATTCTTAGTAGGTACTGTATTTTATGGAACTACACGACACAATATTAAAAATGATTAAATAGTATTTACTATACAAAAATAATTTTAAATAGTAAATGTTAACACAAAACTTAATGTAATTAAAAAACGATTTGTTCACCACATTTCTGTGCATTGTTTTTCAAACCACCACAGCATACAAATAGGTATCGATGGAGGCACTTGAGTGTTATCCGTTCAGTCATCACATCACTCAGTCTTCAAGTATTCAATGGCTATGTGCTATGTGGACTGCAGCGGCTGGTGCGGCGCCAGCCGTCTCCACTGCGTCTGCTGTTGTTCTGGAGTTTCATCTTCCTGTTGGGGTAAAAAAATTAACATAGTGTAAATTAGGCGAAGTTATGGCTTCAGAAACAGCTTTCCGGTAGGCAGCGGCTTGGCTCTGCCCATGGAATTGCTGAAGTCCATGGGCCACGGTAACCACTCACCATCAGGTGGACCGTATGCTCGTCAGCCTACAAGAGCAATAAAAAAACAAAAAACAGTCCTGCTAACACTATAAAGTGGGTTAAGTGACCGGTAATGTAATAAATAGGCTCTTGTGCAAGTCTGTACAACTTTTTTAACATTATAAATTGATTCTTCAGTCTTCTAACAATCACCTTCACACCAGTTTCATAATATAGGTGAAAAAGAAACTTCGGATGTGACTTTGGATATCTGAGTGAATTCAGCACATTTTGATAATGTTTTGGGTGGCGTGGCATACTTTTAAGTTTTTAATTAAAGTTTCGTTTGCCAATTTATAGAACCACAGAAGATCTTGAATAGAAACATGATCAATTGAAATATTCAAAAAACATTATAATTTAAATACAGATGTCAAAAGTTACAAGAAATGTGAAATAAAATATTGATTTTTACCTGTATGATTGTGATGGAGACAGTGTCCGGTTTAATATCATCTTTCTGATCTTCTGAAAGATGTGACTGGTCTGAATTGTCCATATTTCTGGAAAGAAAATAGTATTCATTCAGTCATTTATTACCTAGTGTATGATACTACTAAATTGGATGGAGATAGCTTTTAAACAATCCATTGTCTAGATGTTATTATGATAATATTTCTTCTAAACACTTACTTCCTACTCCCCGAGTGAAACCTTCCACCTTCACCTCTGATTCTGTTCATCGCGTGCCTGTGTCGCGATTCGTGCAGGTATTTCTGTGGTAATACATTTTAGATTAAAGCAATTTTGAACAAATCTTTTTCCCTACCTAATCGTTGGTCGCTTAAGGGATTACACCAACTTCACCGGTAGGTGAGCTCACGGGCTCAACCTGAGAGAATTTCTAACACTAGCCCTAGCAAGAGCAGTGCTTCGCTGAATCTACTACTGGATCAAAATCGCGACCCGCTGAGAACGCGAGAAGCTCAGTGGGTAGTATCTATGAGCTAGTTCGCAAATCGAATTCTTCGTCAGAGTCGAGGATCGTGACCGATTATCATGCCGCGCTGCTGCTTCTGCTGCTTCAAAGTAGTGTTCCGACGCTTCTCTAAGATGCTTACGTATCGGTTCTAGTTGAACATTTAATTATCGATTTATCATCGAGTCAAATGTATATAATTTAATGATACAACTGTATAGTGTGAAAAACAAATATTCCTGTTAACATTTAGGAACATTTAGGAACATCTAGTAATAATATCCACAGTGACACAGTACATTGAACAGCCCAAAATCTTAAATTATTTTTATTATTATATTTTTTAATTATGTAACACCAGGTGAGCTGTGAGCTCGTCCACATATCAAAGCAATAAAAAAAAACAACATTTTATGAATGGAGATATGGAAATATGATGATTATAAACTCACCGGCCGTTCTTTAGGTATTTTTCCTAGTTCATGAAGCCTCGCTCTTGCAGCTCTACGTTTTAATATTTGCTTGAACTGTCTAGCATTTACATACAACAGAGGCTCTTCATCAGAGCCAGCGGCTGATGATCCCGGACCTTCTGTTGGAGTTGCTGTTGTGCTTGTGTTATTAGTGCCATTCACCATCTACAATTTTACTTTAATTACATAAACTAGATTTAATGCTCACTAATCTAAACCTACAGTAATATTATCTGTCATATTATCTATTTAACTTAAAACTTCTGTTCATAAGTAAGTGTACTAAAAATCATACTCGAAAATTATAATTTGCATAATTACTGGTGGTAGGACCTCTTGCGAGTCCACACGGGTAGGTACCACCACCCTGCCTATTTCTGCCGTGAAGCAGTAATACGTTTCGGTTTGAAGGGTGGGGCAGCCGGTGTAACTATACTGAGACCTTCAAACTCGTATATCAAGGAAGGTGGCGGCATTTACGTTGTAGATGTCTATGGGCCCCGGTAACCACTTAACACAAGGTGGGCTGAGAGCTCGTCCAGCCACCTATGCAATAAAACAATAAAAATAAAAAATTCGCTTCTTTTATGAATCAATCCATTTAAAAATTGTATGATGTTGTTATAGTAACTTAATGAAACTTAGAAATATTTATCTAGCTACTGTAAAACAAATTTGACTAATAAAGAAAATGTTACTTCTATTCTGAGTATTAACATTTTATCGTATCTGTTTTAAATACAAACCATGACGATATTAGGTTGATTGACGATCTGCTGTGGCTGCACGGCGTTACTCACTCCAGCAACTTGCACAAGATTCCCATTCAAGTTGATAACTATAAAAATAATGATATTTGGAAAAATGCATTAATATGTGTATCATACATATTTAGTATAGCAGGGGCTCCCAAACTTCTTTTGTCTACTGCCCACTTTGAGAATAAATTATATTTTAGCGCCCCCATTTTTTCACCTACTTAAAAACCACTATAGCGAGAGCTCAGTTGGTGTCTAAGTCCTAGATGAAATTACAAATCGCCTCCCAAGCCTCTACACAACGCCCCCTTTATTTCTGAGTCTCTTAGTGCCCCCTTTAGGCCTGAAGCGCCCATAAAGGGGCGTTATTGCCCACTTTGAGAAAGGCTGGTTTATAGGGTACCCACTTGGTTTTAGACCAAAAACCTGTGGCATTTAGAATATCAAATTTACTCCTATTTCTGTCGCATAACAGAAATCCATTTCAGTATACTATTTTTCATATATTTCTACATACTATTTTTTTACAGCACACAAACAGAGATGCTATAAGAATGCTACTTCTCTACTGATTATGTTGTTAATGTTGGTTTTTAATAAAGTTTTTTTTAGAAGTTTTTTTCTATCATTAGAAGTCTCACCAGCAGGTTGATGAATTATTTGGTGTTGGTCAATGGATGGTTGAGCCTGTGCAGTCGGTTGGTACAGAAATGTCTGGCCGTCAGGTGTCTGAACTAACTGCATTGGCTGTACATTGTTCCCTCCACCTGAAATGTAAGGTGATGAAATATTGCTATTCTTGTTTTCTTATAATGATGTTCACTATTTTAATCTGAACTATTTCATTATCGGTCGAAAAGTTAAATTATTAAAAGATGAAGGCATAACTCTCCTCATAAAAAGTGATTTAGAAAAATGTATGGGTTTTTAATATAAAATTTACCTTGCAAATTTGAAATCGGTAAGACTTGAAGTTGTTGGATCTGCTGTCCATTCGGAGCTGCTACCTGTGAATTTATAATAACTTATAATTTATAATTATATATAATTTATAATAACTTCAATAATGTGAATTTATTAAAAGTATTATTCAGTATTGACGGTCACAGTAGTATGTACTGAGTTGTGAGTTTTATTTATAAATCGGCGTCTTATATTTTAGATGTTTTCGATTATTGGTTCCTAGTGTATTAATTTCATAATCAGCTTATACTATCATGTACTTGAAGTATTATCTCAAAAACCTATTTTTAAATGTTAATTAATTAGTACCTGAATTTGAGGAGTTCCAATCTGAATGCATGTAATTAAATAATATGATAAGTTAGTAACTAAATATTAATATTAGTTCAATAAAGGCATAATAGTATTTTCTTCAGTTTTCGTGAGAGCTGTTGGTCTTATTATAAAGGTACAATTTTCAAAACTACACAACTTAAGCCAAACTTTTCTATCACTGACTTATTAATATTTTCTCTTCCATTTGACAACAAAATGTTGTTTCAATTTAAATAGAACATAAGTTATTTACTGTTACATCATGGAACATCTCCCCTTATCTATTTATAGCAACAAATGCAGATTTTTCCAACATTAAAATTTTTTATTACTTTTTTTTATTTAAAGCAATAGCGTCTGATAAAAATTAGTTCATTTTGAAATAATATTTAAATATCACTTTTCATAAATTTATGTTTGAATATGTCAGAGAATAAAATTAGAATATATATAGATAAATAAATATATATAATATTAGTCAAACACACAAAAAAGTTTTAATGTAAAATTTATACCACAATATGTTTTATTTCCAATTAAATTAAATATTTTTATAGATTTAAGTTTTTTACTAAAAGAAGTGGCATCTTATTGAAATATTGGATTGGAATATATACAATTATATTCTATATCTCATTAGACAGGTGAGTTGCATAAATGTGCCATATGGGTGTCTACTCTTTGTTTAATCTCTTAAATCTCCTTTTCGATAACTACTGAGATGGGAGTAATAGGGCAATTCTAGGCCAAAACTCTTAAAGAAACAAGGAATTTCAGGCCCATTCACGCTGTTCAACAATTACTTATTATATTGTTTTTACTAAACCAAGTTATTTTTGTGTACATTTTTACTGTTGCAAATCCTTTAAGTACCTCGCCATTTCTACCACAAAGCAGGCTTTTGAAGCGTAGGACTGAAGCTACATATTTCAAAATTTAAAACTTTGAAATCTTGAAGATTGATCTCACATTTCAAAGTGGCAGCATTCTCACATGTCTATTAGTCTCAGTAATTTAACACTGGGTGGGCTGTGAACTCATTCACCCATCTATGTAATCTATACAATGCATTAAAAAGAGAAATAAAGGAATAGGAAATGAGACATTTACCATATGGTATATTATACCTGAATAGTCTGTGTAGGAGTTGCTATTGTATGAACCATGATCTGTTGACCATTAGGACCTTGAACCATATGCGGAGAGGTGTTCATCTGCAATACTTGCAACTGTTGTCCATTGATGGTCATCACTTGGGGCCCATCTGCATTCTGGATTTGTGCATGCTCCATCGTTGTTGAATACTGTTTCAAAGATTTATGTTTTTATAAAACTATTTTTTATTTTTTATTTATTATTTTTCTATTTAGAGCAATTTTGTAGTTTTTCATCATTCATTTTTGTTATTTAGGTTTGTTCTTGTGAGGTATCATATTTTTATACCACACTTGACTAACTACCTATAATTTACCTATTATCAAAAATAGTTTCTTAGTGCTTACTGATTAGTCAAAAACTGAGAAGATTCAATCATTAAACAAAATATGCTATGTCCCAGACACTACGAGCTGCTCTTACTTCATTAATACCAATCCTTAAATTTTTTCAACTAGATCTCATAACAAATGTTCTTTGCATATTATCTTGTCTTAATTAACAGAGGCAGTACTTATGCTGAAACTTCCCAAGAATGATGCATGCCAGTCTGAAGGGTATCGATTATACTCATTCAATTGTGACTTCGATTCAATACCTTAAGGTTGCATTTATAATGCATTGTCTCATTTTAAGCAGTGTAAGCTCGTTTGCCCAATCTAGTCTGTCCATCTAAGCTAATAGAAAACTAATCAAATCCGGAAACACCAACTAAAGCTCTATCTTTATGCCATAGCTGTCAACAATATTTTACTAAGAGACAATGTGCAATATCTTGCTTAGCTAAATGTTTCTGTAAACAAATAAATCTAATCTCATAGTAAAATAAGTTTAACTACAACTACTGCGAAAAATAGCTGTACCAAAGCAAGTTTCTATCTTTGAAAGTCATGAATGATAATTATGAGCCTAAGTTGAATATAACTAATTGAAGGAGAATCGCTTTGGGATTTCGACAGACTGGTGTTTGATTTGCAACAAATTGAAATCCACAAAAAACATAGTAGAATTTCCCTCAATTTACTTTCAGGGAACTTTAAGGCAGTACCTTTATATACACGTCACAAGGACTCGCTAAGTACCACGGAACAAGCCAACGTAATCAAAATGGCTGTGACTGCGTTTCAGGTAATTTCGTCAGACATTTCACATAAAATTACGAGAAGACTGAAACTCTCGCTAATATTTAACAGTTCAAACATCGACACAGCGATCATCTTGGAACATTTAATGAAAATAAATATTAAACTTACATTGGACCCTCACTGGTTTTTCAATGATTGGTTGACAATAGATAGACCAATGGCCGATGTCAATGATCTGGGGGACGCAGTAGATTGGTTCGAAGTATTACCACTCCCAAACAAGCGGGCTTCACTAAATATCCAATGGTTCACGTAATTAATTCCTTGTCTATGGTAGTTGTGAGGTACTGTCAGTGACTCAGTACTCAGTAGGTAGGTAGTCTTTATAAAGTGACTTTCCAATATTCGTTATATGAGACAAAACAGAGGAACGTAACTTTTTAGCGTTTTAAAAAAAGTCCCATTAGTCTTCTTAGAACTTTACTATTCTAAAAAGACGTATTTACTACAGCGCCTTAGAGTGTTTTCTCCCATGAGCAGTCTGTCCAAATGTTGTTGTCCACAATCTGTATTTAATTTACAAAATTTTAAACTGTCCATTTATGCTTCATTTGAATATTTCTTGAGCACGATTCAGGCTTTAATCATATTTCTTCTATTCTGTGATAGCTATCGCTACAAGTTGTAGTCCTTGTCCTGTTCAATTGATAAATTTATTTAAATATGTGATACTGTGGCCTTATGAGTTCAACCCCTTTGTCTGTACAGTAAGAGAAAACAACAACAACAAATGTCTATGGTGACGCTTCAGATCGCAATCAGTCATTGCTTTGGATAATTTAAATATATCTAAATTACACTTATTCTTGCGTTCCTTTACCACAAAAATATAATATTCTAATGTTTTACAGCAGTAGAGGATTGTAAAATGAATTCCACTGTATCTGATGATTTAACTCGGGAAAATTCAGCTTCAGAGATCTCTAAGTGCATAAGTAGGTTATGTTTTTGATTGTAGAATTTGATTTTCTTTTGTTTTTTTTCGTGTAGCAGAAATTCGATATAATATTATGTATTTTTCAGAGGATCTTTCCGCTAATAACAGAAACCTCTCATTACTACACAAAGAACTTTTGGAAATTAACCTTTCGGTTAAAACCTATGTACAGGAGAGTAAAAAACGGTTGCAAGGACTAAGACTTGATTTAGCGCACGAGGCCAGAAGCTCCCATCAAGTGGTCGAATTATTAACAGAAAAATGTATGAGAGTGGTCAGATTTCGTTAACGCTTCCAAAATTTTGCTTTAATTCAATATCTAAAACGATGTTACTAAATGCTTTGCATTTCATATAGTATTTGATATTTCAGAACAATGTCAGCAAAGTCAACAACACCGCGCAAACGAAATCAAAGGATAACTGCAAGATTATCACAGGAGAACATCAACAAATGTAACAAATCAGTAGAAAGACAGCGAGCTAGGACTTTTGTAACATGGTACAAGCAAATGATAGACAACGAAAGACAAAACTTAGCTCTATACCTAGCTGATGATGCGTTTCTGGAATGGTTTGGGCGCACAATAAAAACAAGAAAGAAAGTGAGCGCCTTCTTGAAACATGATATGCATTGTTCAAAGCACGACTTTACATCTGTTGAAAGTATAGAAAAAATACAAAATAGACATGAAAAATTACACAGGTAATTTGAATTTGAATTTTCAAGAAATAATGTAGACTACTATCTAATCATCATTCTATAAATTATTTTTTCTATTCATTTCAGGAGAGACGATGGAACTTTAGTGAGTCCTCTACATTCCCCAGAGATAAAAACAGGAAAGCCAGGCAAAAAAAAGCTAAGTTTCAACTGCAGCCCTGAGTGGGCTGAAGGATGTCAGCCATTAGATGAAATTAAAATTGATAAGAAAAAAGTAAAAATAGAAAATAATGTGTATGAAATTGTTGAACAAGAACAAAATTCTTTGAAGAGACAATATCCAGAAGATGAAAATAACATTGATATAAGTCAGAATGGTGATGGAATGGGACAGAAGCCAAAAAGAAAATGTATTCCAGTAACACCACCAAATCCAGAACTAGGTCAAGGTGATTGTCTTCCATCCACAAGTGGAACTGATTCAGACAAATCTCATGACACATTGAATGCCCAGTTGCAGAAATTAGCAGTTGAATGTAATGGGTATATAGAATTTACTAGAACTAGAAATAGCCGAAGTAATGAGGGCATGAAATGGGACAGAAAGTGTAAAGTCCAAATAAGTTATTCAGAAGATCCATTAAATATTGGAGAATATATAATTTGGGCATTGAGATATACAGATGAAAGTAAATGCCGTAGGAACCTCCTTCCTGATTTTGAAGAAGTAGCAAGAGAAGAAATACGTACATAAGCAAAAATACCAGTGCATTAAAAATTTTGTTATCTGAAAACCTATAAGGATGATGGTCATGTGATAATACATTTGTGTTATGTTTTACTGTGTTTTTACCACTGAATATTAATATTATGTTTATTTTAGTTAATGTTAAAAAACATTCTCTCAAATGTATATGGATAATTTTTATATCCAGTCTATACCACCGCCATTTGAAAACTATTACATTATGTATTATTATTACTCTTGTAACAACTCCTAGATGTAGGTTTATATTGTTTAGTGTGCCAAATGTTTATTATATCTAAAATATTTGTTTAGCAAACAATGTATTATGTGGAAACTAGCATGTAGCTTGTAGACAGGTGAGGCTGAACACAATTTGCATCATCTTGAGCTTCACATTTTATTCTTTAATTTCTACTTATAAATGTAATATTCATTTAAGGTTTCTGTTATTATTATGCTGGTGAAGTATTAAGATTTTTGTTTTCATTATACTTTGACAATAAAAATGTTTATATGTACATAAAAGGTTGTATTATTGATTCACCTTACATTACTTTAACAAAAAAAAAGTAAACATAATATTTCATCTAAAATCTTCCCATCAACTTTACGATTGCAGGCTGATTTTAATTTAAAAATATTAAAACACAAAAGTTTCATACACATTAAGGAAGGTAGAGGTAAGGAGAAACGTCTCTGTGTGTGGAAAAGTTTCTGTTAAAATTTGCTAAACTTGTTTAGCGCTACAGTAGCAACCGGGTAAATTTTTAAAAAAGCGCTGAAAGTTATTAGAATAAATAGAGAAATAAAAAAGGATGAAAAAACTGTAAGCACTGCAAAATCACAATAAGTATCTTATTTAAAGCTGATAAGAAAATCCAATCAATGTCTCCACGTTTTACCATAGCAATGATTTTAGGTTATATTGACGAAATTAGTTTGGACTACGTAAACATGTGATGTCTTATACATTATACTCTCACTAACTACTTAAGTTATTAAATATATTAAATTTCCTAACTCAGCATACTTCAATCAGTTAAGAACTGCTCAATTCTTATCACACCCTGTGCCTATGCTAGCACGATTCTGGTGGATTTTTGAATGGTTATTTAGTGCTGAAAGTGGGACACTTTTTCAAGCTTCTCCCCTAGGAGACGGTTCTCTTTATCTCTAGGTACCCTCCATAATACACATTAACAGCCTATGTGACAAGTTAGTAGCAGTGTTGCCATTCCTTTTATGACTATTTTCTTTAAATGTGTAAAACATAAAAACTAGTTCATTAGTCAAAATCAAAGTGTTATGTATGTACTATAATTTTGAGCAAATTAACATCAGATCTTTATAATTTTCTGTCTGGCACCATAATGGCTTATTATCAAACTATATTATTTTTAACTTATGTAAAATGTACATGAAGTGATTCCTTGTCCTCATTAGGCATTGCCTTTTTTTTAAATGTATATTCAATCCCTAAAAATTACAAGATTTATTGTTATTCCTATCAAAGATTATTTGATTACATACAAAAAGTAACAAAGTACCTATCCTGTAATAATACTAAAACTATCACATTATAATTTAAACAACAATTAAAAGTAAAAGATAATTGCTAAGTCAAGTACAGACATATTGTGAAGATATTCTAAAAGTACTGCATCACCTTTTCAATTACAATTTATTTTGTTTCATCTTTTCAACTTCCTTGTAGTTGTTCATGTTCCTGAACTGTTTGAGGGCAAATTTTTTAGATAGATTGAAGATATAAAGAGGTGAAAGGCTATTTAGTTTAAGAGACATTTTTGCAACTTTACAAAATCGCCATATATCATTACAAAAAACTTCTTCAGCTATTTCACTTGAGTTAATTTAATTGAAGTTCAATCATAAACATCGAATTATTGACATTAATAGCAAATAAAACAAATCTTTAATTACAAAGATAATGTTACATATTAAGTATGGAGAGACTCATAGTGACTGGTAAAGTGGATGAAAGACGATCCAGAGATCGGAGGCGAAAAAGATGCGAGTGACCAAGTGTCCGAGTATCTGGATATGAGACTGAGCCATGCACTTCACTGTGCCACTGACCGACATAAGTGGTTACAAATTACAAAAAAAAGGTCACAGGTCAGGCGCATCACGATGCTCAGCAATGAGCGATCGACTGAAAGAGGAGGAGGACATATTAAGTGGAATGTCACTTAAACCAATTATCCTTTCACCCCTCCATATGTGCCTGAAGTGCTGTAGTTAGCTAAAACGCTGAATTAAACATTTTTTATATGTACAAAGACAAACTTAAATTGCAATTATATGAACAAGTCAAAAGATGTACACGCGGTCAAGATAGTAAGCTTATCTGAAGTCGCTTTGTGATGGTGCTGCATTGCAATTTTTAGTACTATGCATTGAAGCCCTATCACACAGCATAGCACCGCAACAGTTAAGTGTAGTTTACGAGAACCATGCCCAAAAAAGGAAGACAAGTGACAATCAATGTAAATATTTAATACGACTTGATACTGAGAGGCAAAATTTTGATTGATTCATAAGTGATCTTTGCATAATATGAATTACTAACGTTGACTAATTGGCTGATCACAGTTACAAATTTATTTAAAAGAAATACTACAAGAAATACATACTACTTGAAGACTATAACTTCTTTTATTATGAATCAAGTTTTTCTAGGGAAAATATTGATTTAGAGATAAGAACCAATCATTAAAATTCTATAGAACAAATTACCTTAGTTATTAAATTATATAGTTTAAAGTCACATTATGTATCATCAAAGACACAAAATAAATTGCAGTTTTATGGACTTTTTTTCAAAAAGATCAATATCTATTGTAATTGTGCATCAAAATCTTGTCCATCATTTAATACATTAGGATCTTCTATATCCTCTTTTGCATCATTCTCAAGGACTGGCTCATTAATAGGATTTTGAACAACATTCAAAGCAGGGCTTTGTTTTGGTGGCACAGCTGCTGGAGTCACTTTAGATGGTACAGGGGGATTAGGAGCACTCTTAGTTGTTAAAACAGCACGCAGCCTTTCAATTTCTTTCTCTAATTCTTCGATTTTCTGTTTTCGTGCTGTTAGCTGGCTAGTATATTTCTTCTTTTCCGATCGTAGTGTCTCCAGCATAGCAGACTCGCTGACATGCAAATTTTTTAATGACTGCAACTCAGTCTTACACATGTTGACATCATCTTTTGTGTTGTTTATTTGAATTTCCGATTTTGTTAGTTTAGTTCTATACTCTGATAGATCCTCCTCTAGTCTTGTTTTATGTTTATTTAAGTCGCTTACTTTGTTGGAGTAACTATCGCGTTGTTCGAGTAACGTTAACGATTCTTCCATGCATGTCGTTTGCTGTTTTGAACACTCTTGTAGTTGCCTACTTACTTCACTAATTCTGTTTCGCAATTCAGTTTCAAGATTCCAACTATTTAACAGTGAAAGGGTCAACAAAATACAAACGGCAAATACAATGTACATAGGCCAACGTCGCATATTTTCTAAACCCATTTTTCAATCTATTTTTATACACAACAAAAAGTATTTTGTAAATAATTTCTCTACACGGTTAGGCACTTCAGATTAATAAATTCTTGTCAGTTTGTTACTGACATAGGAGAAATAAACACGCTCAAAATATGTCAGTTAAGTACCTATGTAGGTACCGTATCTACTGAATGAAAGCCGAAAAACATGTANAAGGAAGACAAGTGACAATCAATGTAATATTTAATATGACTTGATAGTGAGAGGCAAAATTTTGATCGATTCGTAAGTGATCTTTGCGTAATATGAATTACTAAAGTTGACGAATTGGCTGATCACAGTTACAAATTTATTTAAAAGAAATACTACAAGAAATACATACTACTTGAAGACAGTAACTTCTATTATTATGAATCAAGTTTTTCTAGGGAATATATTAATTTAGAGATAAGAACCAATCATTAAAATTCTATAGAACAAATTACCTTAGTTATTAAATGATATAGTTTAAAGTCACATTATGTATCATCAAAGACACAAAATAAATTGCAGTTTTATGGACTTTTTTTCAAAAAGATCAATATCTATTGTAATTGTGCATCAAAATCTTGTCCATCATTTAATACATTAGGATCTTCTATATCCTCTTTTGCATCATTCTCAAGGACTGGCTCATTAATAGGATTTTGAACAACATTCAAAGCAGGGCTTTGTTTTGGTGGCACAGCTGCTGGAGTCACTTTAGATGGTACAGGGGGATTAGGAGCACTCTTAGTTGTTAAAACAGCACGCAGCCTTTCAATTTCTTTCTCTAATTCTTCGATTTTCTGTTTTCGTGCTGTTAGCTGGCTAGTATATTTCTTCTTTTCCGATCGTAGTGTCTCCAGCATAGCAGACTCGCTGACATGCAAATTTTTTAATGACTGCAACTCAGTCTTACACATGTTGACATCATCTTTTGTGTTGTTTATTTGAATTTCCGATTTTGTTAGTTTAGTTCTATACTCTGATAGATCCTCCTCTAGTCTTGTTTTATGTTTATTTAAGTCGCTTACTTTGTTGGAGTAACTATCGCGTTGTTCGAGTAACGTTAACGATTCTTCCATGCATGTCGTTTGCTGTTTTGAACACTCTTGTAGTTGCCTACTTACTTCACTAATTCTGTTTCGCAATTCAGTTTCAAGATTCCAACTATTTAACAGTGAAAGGGTCAACAAAATACAAACGGCAAATACAATGTACATAGGCCAACGTCGCATATTTTCTAAACCCATTTTTCAATCTATTTTTATACACAACAAAAAGTATTTTGTAAATAATTTCTCTACACGGTTAGGCACTTCAGATTAATAAATTCTTGTCAGTTTGTTACTGACATAGGAGAAATAAACACGCTCAAAATATGTCAGTTAAGTACCTATGTAGGTACCGTATCTACTGAATGAAAGCCGAAAAACATGTATTGTGTACAACAAAGTGTAATCAGTCAATTGAGATTTGAGATAAGTATGTACGTTATGTAGGTACGTAAAACGGGGTGATTAGGGATTGAGAGGTGAATGGAGAAAAAAACCAAGAAAATCTTTCGTCGCTCAATATTAGTTTTAAATTCGTTGCAAAATCCTCCTATTTTTGTAGTTTGTATATAGTATAATAGTTGAATGTTGAAAGTTCACAAAACAACTTTAATTATGCATGTTAGTAGCTGCTAACTTAAATATGTACAGGTTTGTAGGGTTGTCTATGTAGTTATAACAATCTTTTTTAAATGTGTTGGTAAGAATCTGGTTTATTCATGATTTTATTGTCTAGAACTTTTATTCAAAATTATCAATGCAGTCTTATTTTATTGTTTGGCAAATATTTATATTATCAGTTACGTATTGTTTTCTATTTTTAGTATGCCTCGCATGTACGTATCAAAGAGTGTAAAGCCTTATAAGAGATATGATCCCTTAATATTAAAAACATTAAAGAAGCCTATGAAATTGGGAACAAGTCTTTAGTTGAATTATGTAAGCAATTTAATATAAGTAAGTCGGTTTTACACAATGTAACAAGAAAAATGAAATCTCAAGGTGGACAAAAATGTCTAAGTAATACATAATAAAATATATTAATATTTGTTCAGAGTGGGGGTATCAACCTGATTAATCCATGGAATAATCGACACACCTAATCTCTTAACCCAGATAAAAATATCAGCCCCTAAGTACTTACCATGAACGAAGAAATATAAACCGTTTATAAGAAAGCACGCTCGTTTGAATTTTATTAGTTTTATTTTTTACTCACCCTTAAACAGAATACTACTACAATAATGTCCACGATAGCGCGGTCTCCGTCAATGTTCATTCGGAGTTGTCCGATTGCGCGAAACTAATTTTAAGTGATGACATAGATGTTTTTTTACTAATTGTCTCACAACTTGAACATTTCCCAAGTAAATATAAATTAATCATAAGTAATTAAATGTAATAAATTTTTAGTTATATATATATTTATATATATTATATATCATATATATATATATTATTTTTGTTTTCAATGCACTGTCGATTGCACCTATAATTGAGGTGACATCTGCCATGTACTTTTGTCGATTTTTCAATGTTTTTTATTGATGATCACTTTGTTGGTTCAACTAAATAAATAAATTAAAATCAAGTAGTGCCAGCCCTAGCAAATTTCTCTATTGATACTAATTTCGTCCCCATTGACCGCAAATTCTGGGTAAATAGGGATAACACCTAATTGTGCTTTTTTTTGCTTAAACTGGAATGCTTCTTCTTCTATTTGATTTTGGCTCGCGCGGCTTGCGCATTTGCCACAAAGCAAAATAAAAGCTTGGGAACTACGTAATAAAAAACGGTTAACGGTTTTGCAAGGGAGAGATTAGGAATGTTACAGAATATATGAAGATTCATATATAAATAAGATTAAACTAAATATGTACATCATTAGATAATATAAATAAAGACAATAAAATGTATACATTAGGAGAATTCATAGATAAAAGACACATAATTGAAGTAGGAAAAGGAATACGTAATGAAATCAAATTTAAATAGAAAGAAGAGCAATCATTTAGAGAGCAAGAAAAGAAAATGTGATTAACGTCACAGACTTCAGCACCGCAATCACAGGCTAGACTATCAACAATTTTGAATTTAAAAAGATGGGCTGGAGTGGAAACATGTCCCAATCGCATACGAATGAGACATGTTGTTACACGTTTAGCGAAATGAATAATTGCATAGTTTTAAACTGGATAACAAAGATACTCGCTAGACTCAATTATTTTGATCCTGATAAAGCATTTAAAACATCAACAACTACCTTTTTAAAATTGTCCATCAAGTTGGTATTTATCCTTAATCAAATTTAAATAGAAAGAAGAGCAATCATTTAGAGAGCAAGAAAAGAAAATGTGATTAACGTCACAGACTTCAGCACCGCAATCTCAGGATGGACTATCAACCCTTTTGAATTTAAAAAGATGGGCTGGAGTGGAAACATGTCCCAATCGCATGCGAATGAGACATGTTGTTACACGTTTAGCGAAATGAATAATTGCATAGTTTTAAACTGGATAACAAAGATACCCCCTAGACTCAATTATTTTGATCCTGATAAAGCATTTAAAACATCAACAACTACCTTTTTAAAATTGTTCATCAAGTTGGTATTTGTCCCTAATCACAGTTTTACCGGTACCTATTAATTAAAATTTTTAAGAGTTTTTATGACCTGGTAACTATGACCCTTAGGTCATGTCTTATTTTAATTTATATTCGAAAAATGCACTGAAGTAGGAAACCTAGTCTATGGAAAAATGGTAATATGGAGTGAAAGGATGTGAAATGAAGATGATTAATTTGAGAAATTACTATACTGGAATGAAATTAAATGAAATGAGATGAGATGATATGGAATGAAATATAGTCTCAGTAAAATGGTGGTCATTTACCGAGATTTTTTCAGTGAACTTTTTGGAGGATCCCGAGAAGTTTTACTGCTAGTAGGACCTCTTATCAGTCCGCACGGGTAGGTACCATCACCCTGCCTATATCTGCCGTGAAACAGTAATGCGTTTCGGCTTGAAGGGTGGGACAGCTGTTGTAGCTATACTGAGATCTTAGAACTCATATCTCAAGGTGAGTGGCGCATTTACGTTGTAGATGTATATGGGCTCCAGAAACCACTTAATAACAGGTGGGCTGTGAGTTCGTCCACTAATCCATCTAAACAATATAAAAATAAATAAATAAAAGAAGTTACGTCCAGTGGCTTTGTTTCATTTTTATTATCGTAGACTGCTGTTTAGTCTATTGGCTATAATTAGCTCGTACTATACGTCGATTCAGGCGGTTTCTGAGGCACATCCAATGCATTGACTTGGTATCACACAACTACAGACAGTTCACAGCGTGAAGATTGCTGACGTGAGAGACCGAGAGAGTTGAGAATTATCTTGTAGGACAGGACTTAAAAATAGCAGTTATGTATTACCCAGCAGTTACATTCTGAAACAATTTTTCTGTGAAAACATGTTCTTATTAAAAGGTTAACATTTTTGATACATGTGCACCGATTTTCTTAAATAAATTTCCCGGTTTGCTTGTCAAGGACATCATTTTGTAATTCATTACGCAATCATTATGCAATGGTTGGTTGTTATTTCACGATAGATTGTAGCAAAGCAGCTTTAAATTTAATTTCTGTATTATGTACTGCTTCAAAAAATTGTTTCGTATGCATTTATGTTTATCATGGTGATTTTGTTGTTAAAGTCAACTGACTAATTGCCAGCTCACAAACTCCACTAGAAATAGGATGTGGGCAACACCAACTTTTGTCACATTACCCATAGAGGCATAGACCCATCAAAAATCCTTCATCGACTTCTTTGGTTTATAGCCACGAGGTTTTAGAATTATTTCAATTTATTAGAAAATTATTAAAAAGAAAATTGATTTCTGACAAATAAAATGCCTCCAAGCAATCCTTTACCACCTAAAGAGAATGCTCTTTTTAAAAGAATTTTGGTAAGTAGGACAGTAAACATGAAATTTGATGTTGTTCCTTGTCATTCTTGGACCTTCGTGAAACATGAAAAGGGGCTAGAAAATCCTTAGTATGCATCCTTGCGGTGACTTTGAAAGCAAGTATTTTCGTTCTCGAAGAGAGTTGTAAATCAAAAGGAATTCATACATCGTAAAACCTAAACTAAAAATAAATTCTGTGAATATAGCTTGAATGGGAGAGGTTAATTGTTTGATTGATAAGTGTATCGTTATCTTACAGCGGTGCTACGAACATAAACAATACAAAAATGGGTTAAAATTCGCCAAACAGATATTATCCAACCCAAAGTTCGCGGAGCATGGAGGTAAGCCTGTTCATTCAAATGTAGTTTTATAAATGTATGGAAATCAACAAAACCTCATTCATACTATAATTGTTTATTTCTTGATGAAATTTGCAAAAAAAATTACAAATATTAAAGTTGGATAAAGATAATTTAATAATTTCCTACAGAGTTGTCAAAGTCATCTGTGAGAAATTTTGTACAGTATAAAATTCGAATTTTTCGTTAGGTTTTCTGATTTAAAAAAAAGGATTCTACTAGAATTGATGTGAAAAAAATCTCCTTACTTATTCTGCGGTATCTTTCTTTCTTTAATTAAGTTTCAAATTGTATTTATTTCAGAAACCTTAGCCATGAAAGGTCTAACATTAAATTGCTTAGGTCGCAAGGATGAGGCATATGACTATGTACGCAGAGGTCTACGTAATGATCTGAAGTCCCCAGTATGTTGGCATGTGTATGGGCTGTTGCAGCGCTCTGACAAGAAATACGATGAGGCAATAAAATGTTACCGTAATGCACTAAAATGGGAAAAGGAGAATATTCAAATTCTCAGAGATTTGTCACTATTACAAATTCAGATGAGAGATTTAGAGGGTTATAAAGTAAGTAAATTCCTTGTCTTTTTCACAGAAGAAACTGAGCAATAGACCTTACATATTAGTGTAACTGAAACAGGAAGTTTGAAACATGAGTTTTACAATATTATTGGTTATAAGAATAAAGTCACAACTTATTATTATCTGCTGTATCTGCTTGTTGACTGTTGTTCTAATGATAATTGTGTTTGGGTGTGCAATAAAGTATATTCTCTCTCTCTATTATGAAAGATGAATCTGCATGTGAATCTGATGAGTCAGTTTGTAGAGATAGCTTTAATATTAGGAATTGACCTATATTAGAGTGGTTGGTTTGTGGCAAATGGGTCAGATTGATATGTTTCAATTGTTATATAATAATTAATTAATGGTGCACCATGACAATCCAATCCTCAGTTGTTTGTTAAGATTACCTACAATTTTTTTATGGTTCAGAGCCAACCGATCACTAGTTTCTTGTTCTTACTTTGAGACATGCTGTACCATAGTGTTCTAGTATATGCTTTTTTGGGTAAACATCTCATATTAACTTGTTGTATAAGTTTAGAGTTCTTGTGTCATTAAGATCCACCAACATTTTTTTTACAGTCTAAATAGTTGACTCAATATATTTTGTATTCACCGTTGCCACTAAATATCAACCTAGACTGTCAACCTAGAGCACAGAGATTATAATTTTGAGTGTGTTACAAAGTTAGCGTTTAAACAAAGTTAGTGTTTAAAATTAGTATTATCATATAAAATTATTAATTTCAAATTTTTCAATTGAAAACTAAAAATATATATAAATAACAGAAAAACAAAAAAACACCTTTACTTTTGATTCAAAAACTTTTTCAAATTATCTAAATTCTTAATGCTTGAATTAAACATTCTTTTAACCTTAAATATCTTCAGGATACCAGATATCAGCTTTTCATGCTGAGGCCTACACAAAGAGCATCATGGATAGGATTTGCTATGAGCTACCATCTCCTCGGTGATTATGAAATGGCAAACAGTATCCTAGATGCATTCCGCACTCATCAGATGAAAGGTCCATATGATTATGAACACTCAGAATTGCTATTATACCAGAATATGGTACTGGCCGAATCAGGACAATATGAGAGAGCTTTGCAGCATTTACAGAAGTTTGAAAGTCAAATTCTGGATAAATTATCTGTGAAAGAAACTTCTGGGGAATATTACTTAAAATTGAACAGGTATGTGATACCAATTTAATTTGTTTGCTTCAATTTGCTTACTTTGTCATTGCTTCAATGAATTAGTAAGCTTGCTAATTCAACCTTTATCAAGTTTGTATTATGAGATTGGAAGTGGTGGTAGGAATAGCAACATTGTTTACCGAACATAATTTGCTAGATTTGTATTGAAACTTTCCAAAATATCGGATAAAAGGTATTGAGTGATTTAAAAGTTATTATACAAACCTCTTCTTAGGTGTAAAGTGACACTAATGGAAGGTATTTTTAGATACCTGTGTTATAAGTAAAGTATTAGAAAGAAAAGTAGATTAGGGTTTATTTTAACCTAACTTACTTGTCTCATATATGCCTAATAATTTTACAAGTAGAGATTAAACCAGAAAATCTAATTTTTTATGTTAAATAGAACAAAAGACAAAATCTTAACATTTATTTGCTAGTTCCCTATATGCCATAGTGAGCCATTTTTATCCAGAGTATTTAAATAATTTAATTTATAGTATGTCTCTTCAAACGAGTTTTGGAACAAGGCTTCAGCATCAGGCTTCTGCCCGTGTGACAATTAAATAGTGGCCAGATTATATTACCAGAAAAGAGGCTTGTTTTCTCTCACTTGTTTTGTTGTCTGTCTTTTCGGGTTTAGTAAACCATGTAGTAAACCAACTTCTTGACAAATGAGAGACTTGAAATTATTTAATGTTTTCCCTCTAACAAATCGTTAGTAGCCCTTGCAACAATTTCATTGGTTTGGTAGGTAACCTCACATGGCTCAAACTGGGTGGGATTATTAACACTAGCCTTAGCAAGCGGCAGTGCTTCGCTTAATCTACCACCAAAAGATCCAGCAGAATCTCTGTGGTTTGTGACTATAAACTTTTTAACATAAGTGCAGTAAATATGGAGAAACGAAACTTAAAAAGTAACTGATGTTGTTTTACTATTGTTAGTCAGTTGCCTTGATTAATATAGAGCAAATTTTGTCTATTTCAGATTCAAGGAAGCAGAAGGAATTTACGAAGACTTGTTAAAGAGAAATCCCGAAAATGTTTTGTACTACAATAAGTTAATAGAAGCGAAACAACTCATTAAAGCTGAAGACAAAGTGGCCTTTTTTGATGAATACAAGTAAGATTTATATTATCTTAGTTAGATGATAGGTTCACAAATTATTTTTGGAATGTTTTCATTTGTTTCTTTTTCTTATCCTCTTCCTTGCGTCGACAATCCTCAGTGCTGAGGGTCATGGCCTCCTCTAATAACTTTCTCCTGTATTATCTTGCGCCATTCCTGCCTGTCCTCGGCTCTGTGGATAGCAATGTGGACTGAGGTATTGAGAGTGGAGCGTATTTGGTCCGACCAGCGCATTGGATTTCTGCCTCTGGGCCTTCTTCCGCATACCTTGCCTGTTACCAGCAGCTTTTCCAGATTGTCACCTCTCTTTCTGGCGATATGTCCAAAGAACTCGAAACTCCGCGCGCATGTAGTGCTGAGGCGCATTGGAATCTTGAGCTCTGTAAGAATGGATTCTTTGGTTCTGTGTTCTGTCCAACGAGTCCCGAGTATTTTCCTCCAGCACCACATCTCAAACGCGTCGATGCGTTGGCGGTCGGCTTTCTTGAGGGCCCAAGTCACTTTTTCTTATAAGTTTTGATGAAAAAGAAATCATATCTTCAGTTTATTTTTACCAACTCCATTGAGGATTACAGATATTTGTGCGGCATTAACAATTAAAACTGCTAATGCCAATGTAATTATTACTCAGTAGTAATTTACAAACTTATTTTATTGAGTTATTAAAACTCACATGCCCTATAACTAAGATAGTTCGATATCAAAATTTATACTTTTGTTTTGAGCGTGAAGCAATAAATAATTGCAGGTATAATATTGATAAAAGATAGTGTTCAAAAGTTAATTGTTACTTTGATTCACGAGTGTCCCATGAGAGAATAGAGGTAAATTATAATAGTTGTATTGAATCACAAGAAGTAAATTCATAGTGTCAGTGACTTTGTTTGTGGTTATTACAAGCTGTGTTTCTTCAATTGCAGGAAGCAGTATCCAAAGGCAATAGCACCACGACGGCTGCAATTGACCGAGGCACAGGCGCAGTCCTCATTTGAAAACCTCGTTGACGAGTACCTCAGACATGGACTGTACAAAGGAATTCCTCCACTTTTTGTAGATTTGAGGTATGTGCTATTTGCATGGCATTAAATATTTTTTTTCTTGAAAACGAAGATCAATAGTGCTTGTTGATTTATTTATTTAATAATAATGTCTTTATTGTATTATAACAATTAATGAATAGCTGATGCGTGAATGCCTCGTGCGATTCGCGATTCCTTCGTTTTATGTATTCCGGTTTCACGAATGAACTTACTAAAACGCCATATTTATGATAAATTTTGCAAATTAACCCTTTCGCTATTATTGGCGACTATGGTCACCGGCTGAAGAACACCGCTTATACACGATGCGTGATGTGAAACACTTTACAGCCAGGCCTGCCGTAGTGAAAGTGCTTACATTCCTTATGAGTATTTTAAAATAGTAGGTACTCACTTTGGCTTAAGAAACGATTATTGTACAGCCTGTACGGCTTTTCCTTTGCATTTTTTTTATATATATTTACGGTATTGTTCTTGTTAATAAGAAGCTATAGTTTTCTTTTTGCACGATTTCATTAATATAACGACGAAATTTAATGTAATTAGATTATGATTAGATTGGATATTATTAACTGGATTATCAATCACACAAATATCGAATATTTATTAAGTAGATCTCGTGTGTCTAGTGTTATGAATAAAATATTTGGGAACTGTTTTTTAACAAGAGAATGAGAGAGAATGCTAATTACCCTTTTCGCATCTGTTGGTCGACCAGGTTTTTTTTATTATTATAGCTGTGAACGAGATTTAGTGTCGTCTATATTTATTTCTATAGAAAGTAAAAAATAAAATAAAAAAACAATTGTAATTTACAATAAACAAAATGAATCTGAATCTTCGGGCGTCAGTGATTATGGTCGAGTTTTGTTTATTACGCGAACACTAGTACTCGCAGAGTCACAGTGCTCATTGATGTCATTGTGTTTTTTTTATTTTATTGCAGATCTTTATACGCAGATCCAATGAAAGCGGAAACGATAGAGAAATTAATAATACAGTACATAGATAATTTAGCTAAAGATTGTACATTTGGGCCAGACCCGAGTGAAGTGAAGCAGCCCGCAAGCGCGCTTTTGTGGGCGTATTATTTCGCGGCCCAACACTTCGATCACAAGAAGGATACGGATCGAGCGTTGCATTACATAGACGCCGCCATTGAGCACACCCCTACATTGATAGAATTGTTTATTGTTAAGGGAAGAATATACAAGGTATGTGAATGAGTTGTTTATTAGTGGTACTGGATCGTCGATCTTTGCGAGTAGTCGTGATTAAAACAGCTTTAATTACGAATTCCTTAATGTTCCTTCACGTCACTATGAAATGTTAGTTTATATAGTTGAGTTAACAATGGCCTAGTGTAGCTAAGCCATGTAGATAAGCCATGAATTGGTGCGAATTGTCGTTAATTTCACTGTCTCTGCTGTGATAGACTCGTGTATAACGGATTGAAGGGTTGTAAGAGCAGGCGGGTGTGTATTATAAACGACATCTACTACATACATTGTCGCCCGATATGAATGTTCAAGTAAATGTAGCCATAGGTGAAAAGTGCACATTTATAGCTCAACAAAACTATTAATCCAATTTGAGTTGTCAAATCTATATATTAATACGCAAAAATATAATAATTAAGCCAAAATTTTGTATCCCTTTTCACAAAAATTGCGTGGACGGAGGAGTGTGAAATTTCCCACGCTTATAGAGAATATAGAGAAGGAATGCAGAATGCTAATATATTTTTTAAATTATTCATAATATAAATACAATAAATCAATAAAAAAAAACGTTACACACACTATCATGTATTTGACACACACACGCATTAAATTAACGCTTTTGTTTATGTTAAAGTCTGTGGTCAAATTGAGAGTTGATTTATTGTTTATCTTCATTAATATTTATCTATAGCGTAGCCTTGACGAGATTTGTTATTATACAGGTCTATGAATGTCTTTGACAATAGACCCTGAATAATGTTAAAGCTTATAATTTAAATTAATTATTGTCGAATTTCGACTACCACTAGTAATATGAATTACTAGCCGTATTCGCCCGCTTCGCTGGGCATTTAAAATTAACATTATTATGTCTCACCCCCACAAAGATTCTCATCATGAACGCCCCCGCAACTGGTGTAGGGAGTCCAACACTCACATAAATATTAGCCTATCCATTAAGTACATGTATTTTCTACATGGATACCAAGTTTCAAGTCAATCGGATGCATGGATCAATAATGATAACGGAACATCCGTAAAAACCACTGCAGATTTATATATTAGTAAAGTATAGATTTCCAAATTTTGTAGCATGCCGGCGACCCAATATCCGCGTACCAGTGCTTAGAGGAAGCTCAAGCGATGGACACGGCGGATCGATACGTCAACTGTAAATGCGCGCGGTACATGCTCAGGGCGGGCCACATCAAACGAGCCGAGGAGATGTGCGCCAAGTTCACGAGGGAAGGTTAGTCCTCATCAGTCTCTTACCGCTTGCGACGAATGAGCATAGGCTCGGCTATGAGCATAGGTGGGGAAAAAAAATCAGTCTCGTTCAGTAGTTACATCGCAGTAACCCGCTGCCCAAAGTAGAACTCTGTTTGTGCTGTATAATGGATTTCAAACAGAAGAGCATAGTTGCTTCGCATGGCTATCCTCCTCCTTGCATCGTTCTCCTCATTACTGAGGGTCGTGACTCCCATGCTGCATCAATCTCTCTTGTACTAATATTCTCCATCTGCTGCGATCCTTGGCCTCGTGGAGGGCATCGTGGAGCTTGATGTCTAGACAAGACCGAATTTGGTTCGACCATCTCGTGGGACTGTATCCTCTGGGACGTTGGCTATAGAGAGGCATGGCTATAGAGAGGTTCAATTTTGGTCCGTAGCAAGTTCACGACTAGTGCAAGACAATTAATTATTCGGTAACCACTAACCACCAAGTGGGCCGTACCTTTCCGCCCTTCAAAAATAATATAGAAAATATTAAAAATAAGTAGCAATAAATATTATAAAGATTTGCATGTAGTGCAGTTTCTTAATAACATCTTAGTATCTTTATTTTAGTTTTTTTTGTTGTTTTTGAGTAAATAAGTTTCCGACCCATGTGGTATTAAGTGGTTACCAGAGCCTATTAATACTTATCTAAATGTTGTATCCATAATGGTAATGTCATGAACCACAGGATACATTTTAGTTTCACATTTATGCCCATGAGTGGTTCGATTCAAGTAAAGTTTCTCCTCACTCGTGGAACTAACTATGCAAATATGTAATTTTTCTTCAGGTGTACCGGCAACGGAGAACTTAAATGAAATGCAATGTATGTGGTTCCAAACGGAAGCTGCTGCTTCATACCAAAGACTTCAACAATGGGGAGAGGCTCTGAAAAAAGCACACGAAGTCGACAGAGTATGTATAGCTTTTTATTTATTTATTTTTTCATTGAATAATAATTGTATTTTCTACATTAAGTACTTAGGGATTAGTTTCGAAATACCCTATTTCTGTCAAGAAGCCAGACCTACTTTGGCTTCAATGAAGTGCTTTGAGCCAATTGTCACTTGCTGTTAGTGGTCACAGGAGCTCAAAGACATCAAAATCGTAAATATCGTCGTACGTCTTCATACACGTGGGTGAAGTTTCCGTAGCATGCATATAACTGCTTTCGGTTTGTTACTGGAGTATTATGAAAACCATAACAAAATAAAACCGACATATTTTTGGAATAACACTAATGCATATATTATATTTATATTTACTGGTGGTAAGACCTCTTGTTAGTCCGCACGAGTAGGTACCATTGCCCTGCCTATCTCTGCCGTGAAGCAGTGATGCGTATTGGTGTGAAGAACGGGGCAGCAGTTGTACTGTTAAAATTATAACTCACGTCTCAAGGTGGGTTGCCATCTTCAGCGTATGTGTAAACTTCGGCATTCATCAACTGAACGTTGTTGATGTAAGATGAACCCATTTAGATGGGTGCACACGGCACCCAATGCTGGGCGATTGCTTAGGCAATAAATAAATAAATAAAATATAAAAAAATTAAACAATAATTTTCCTTTTTTTATCTACCTAAGCTGATAGCCTTGAGAGGCTATATCAGCGTAGCCTTAACTAGTAGGTGAGCTCACGGAGCTCGAACCTGGCGACGTTGCTAACACGAACCCTAGCAAGAGCCGGGCTTCGTAGAATCTACCACCGGATCGGAAACGCGACCCATTGAGAGGATCCGGCGAGAGACTCAGTGGGCTGTGTCTGAGGGTTAATTTACTCGTCAAGTCCTTCGTCGCAAGCGACGGGTTCGACGAGAACGATGACCGGTGCTTGAGGTACCTAAAACCACCGTTAGTGAATCGGGAGGATCCGAAATGACGTGTTTGGGGCGACGTCGACTGCTTTCCATTCTGTCCACAGGATCGGGAATGGTAATTTTTTTCCCCTGTACACGTATGAAAGTAAGACGGACGTATTCTCGCAGCACTTCTCGGAGATAATGGAGGACCAGTTCGACTTCCACTCGTACTGCATGCGCAAGATGACGCTCCGCTCGTACGTGGGGCTGCTGCGGCTGGAGGACGTGCTGCGCGCGCACCCCTTCTACTTCCGCTGCGCGCGCGTCGCCGTGCGCGTGTACCTGCGCCTGCACGCGCGCCCGCGCTCCGACGCGCCGCAGACCGCCGAGCCCGACACAGGTATGTGCCATCGTACATACATCATTACTAGAGGTCGGAGTAGGTACATTGATTTAAGGTCGTTGACGTCAAACGTAGAGGATAATATGGATATGCCTCCAAAATACCGGAACATCATATTTATTGTGATATTTGTTCCGGAATTTTGAAATTAGCACGAATCTGTGTTTAAGGTGAAAAACGTATTAATAATATTAATCTACGCTACCGGTGCTAGCTAATGGTGAAAGAAATCAGTATTTTATTTTATAAAAAAAACACCTTGAAATAGTTACACCGTATTTTGTTCCTTTCTGTTGAATTAGAAATGACGCTTCTCAGTATGAGAAAAACCTTAGACAGGGATTTTTGTTACTTTATCTCATAAATATAGAAATTGTACCTGATGAGGATTATAATTTTTTTTTTATTTAAAAAAATAATCGTTATGGATAAAATGGCATGTCTATATTATAATATCTTGTCGCAAGTATATAAAATCAATCTACCTACTCCGACCACTGATAATTACACATATGAGGCCGTCAGCGCAATAGTGGCCTAAGCATACCATAGTTAGTATGGAGATAATAAGGTTTGAATTTACTTTTAAAGCGCTTCGTAGAAAACACAATACTCGTAAAAGTAAGCCCGCCAGGAGGTACCACCACCGTGCCTATTTCTTCCATGAAGCAGTAATGTGTTTCGGTTTGAAGGGTGGGGCAGCCTTTGTAACTTTATTGAGACCTTAGAACTTATATCTCAAGGTGAGTGGTGGCATTTACGTTGTAGATGTCTATGGGCTCCGGTTCCCACTTAACACCAGAATCTGGCCATTTTAAATTATATTTTATATTAACTATATACAATAATTTCATCATTTCTCAAGTTCTGAAATGTTCCCTATCTAAATATTTTTCTCGGGATTGGATGCACCGAATATTTTCTTTCCTTGGTTGTCTCTCCTTGTTTTCTTAAATCATAATACATCACAACAAGAATTTCGTTGGTGACGTGGTCAGTCGCCTCCGTATAGTGGTAAAAATTTGGTACCAGCTGCGACCGTGGCCGACAGACAACTGACTCTTAACCGAAGTGTGAACAAACGCGTCGACATCCGATTAATATACGGATTCGACATGCGACAAGTGGGAACGAGCTCTCAATCTCACTATAAGGAAATGCTCATCATCTTATACCAAAACATATCTTTCCAAAGAAATATATAGAACTAGCGGCCCGCTCCGGCTCCGCTCGGGTCTTTAACAAAAATTTTAACGATAAATGACGTTGTTTTATTTTTAAAAATAAAAGAACACTTGCCGACTTAACCTTATAGGTGTATAGCTCTAATAAAGAATGAAAAAAAAGAACGCTTATTGCGGCATAACTATAATAGTTAGACATATGCTGTCGCGACACTATTTGTAAATAATAATGTGTTCTACAAAGTCGTAGTACATTATTTTATTCTATCATCAATAGTTTTCACAGGGTACGCGATGTAAATAATATTTTAGGTCATTTTTTTTACACCTTGGGTTACACTATTGGAGTTTTAGTATGGATCCCTAATTTTTTCCAAAAAAGATTATAGCCTATGTCACTCGGGAATAGTGTAGCTTTCAAACAGTGAAAGAATTTTTCAAATCGGTTGAGTAGTTTCGAAGCCTATTTAATACAAACAAACAAACAAATCTTTCCTCTTTATAATATTAGTATAGATATTTGTTTTCTGTCAATCAGTTATTGATAAGCCTGTGTGCTTTTTCACGCTTATGTTATGTGTCACTGAACGTGAAAGTAAATTGTTTTTATAATACTTTCTCGTTCACTATACGACTTTAAAAAAGCCATCCAGTTAAAAACGCGAATAATCGAATTTAATGTTAAATTTAAGTCGTCTTTCCTTAACCAGGTTACTTTCATTATCTTTTAGTTCTAGTTGAGCGAAACAAATAATTACATAACATAACAAGTAATTTTACGGTTGTGTTTTGTTCACTGTCCAACCGGTATCTATAATATTGGTTAAATGAACGTAGTTTGTTCACTTAATTGCCGGTAATTACTGCTTACAATAATTCCGTTCATTCGACCTACTTGCTATGCCTACTTGTCATGTCTAGATAATTCGAATTTTTAGTTCTAAGTAATACATAATTCAGGAGTATAAAATTAAGAGAAATTCTTACATAAATAAAGCAGTAATAAAAAACAGGGTACAATTAACATTTTAAATATTTATTAAAAAAAATCTTTGTTTTAGAAATATAATACAAAAAATCACATAAAAATTTGTAGCATATTTGCTTATATAACAATTGCAATTATAAATTGCTGCCATTATTATAGTTTCGATATAACAATTTACCGCAATCATTGCCACACATTTATATCACATCATTCTGACAGTTCGTTGAGAATACTGACATAAATAAATTACCTAACACTATGCATGCACCAGTCTCTTAATAATAATTTAATAAATAACATTGTAAGATATATCGATAGCGTCCGTTTTATAACATCGCTTACAACAAACACGTGTGTTCGTTTATGGCAACGCGGGTCGTCCCGCTAGTCTTTCGTAACTTACACTACTTAGGACACTTTAACATCACATTTGCGCTTTATTATATGTACACAATACGCGCATAACGACGCGTCAACAGTTCAGACTAGAGCTTTAGTTTCACCGTCCGTAGCCAGCCGGCCGGTACCTCTGACGCGAGGCTTGCGCTGCTTGTGGCGTCAAGAAGTACACATGAGCTCCTTCTCCGGGTAGTCTGTACGAAACAAACGACCCCGGTCTGCCTTCTCCTGCTGAATTTGCGGGCGCTATCCATTCTGCATCCGGATTAACGTGCGGCAACGGTCTTCTGTAATTAACCGCCGTGTCACCGGCCAACGAAGGTGCGTTCAAATCGTATTGTTCACCGTTAAATTGCGGCCTTTGAACTTGCGTTTGGACTCTGTACTGCTGCAAAGTTCTGTAGCCCGGGTTGGAAATTGGTATGAACTCACTGTCAGGGTTAATAGTCGGCCTAGGTAGCCTCTCGTTTACCAAAGTGTCACCTGCTAATGAAGGTGGTTTCTGTTGCTCAATTAATTCTGCGTTAATTTCTGGTATAGGTTCACTGTCAGGATTAACAGTGGGTCGTGGTATACGATCGTTCACTATGGTATCTCCCACCAATGACGGCGGTTTGTGTGTCGGACCTTCTGGTTCAATTATTTCATATTCGTACTGAAGATTTATATTGTTGTCGACTGGAGTTTTGACGGTTTCTAATGGCTCTGTCACCCCTAACCCGTGTATGTCACGCGTAGTGTCTTCCAGCTTCTTGCCAAAAATGTCAAATGAGTTTCTGGTGATATCATCGAAATAACTCTCGTCTTGCTTCGTGTAATAAGCGTGGTTTATTGGATTCGGTGTGGTGCTAGGAAATCTTGTTACGTGGTGTACTACAGGTGACGGCCTGTCGTTCTGAATTGGTATATGGTTTATATTTTGTGTCCGTATATCCTTTGAAGAAACGTCTTCATAATCTTCTTCTCGTGTCTTCGATTTGGGATAGTAATTTGAAGCGGTAGGAGCCTCTGTTGTCGCATGTAAGTTTTCAATTAGATATTGTTGATTATTGTAACCGGTAGATACTGACTGTGTGATTGTATTAAAATCATTTTCGACATTAAAAGGTTTGCTGTAACTAACCATTGGCCTGAATGGTTCTGGATCTAGTTTTGGCGCTCTAAATGGAAGTTGATCAGGTCTATTTTGGTAGCTAAATTGGTAGAATGGCCTCGCCGTAATAGCTTTCGGCTTATGACTATGTGGTCTATAAGAGTGTGATTTTGGTCTTTTTGTTGTGAAATAGTCGATCGTTTGCTGAATATTTGCTATTTGTTGATAAAAATCAGGTCTTTGCTTCGGTTGCTGTACAAATACAGGCTGTGATTTTGGATTTTGAATACTAAAGTATTCCTGCGTAAGCGTCCTGGGCCCTTGTTTCTGTGGCCATAAAAATAGCTCATCATTCTGATCAATAGCTCCATATGAAACGTCGACCGCTGGGTTGAAACCTGATTGTTCGTTTGTCTGCGTCTGCTCATATGGCACTTGAGATACTGGTACGGTTTTGTAGTAATTTCTTCCATCGAAATAAGTTGTAGGGGCAGGTGAGGTTTTTGGTTGTTCATCGAAAAAGTAAAAAGAGGCTAAGCCGTTGTCATTCGGTTTTCTGTTAAAAACAGGCTGTAGCTTTGTTGTGGGAATCTCATTTTGAGAATTAGTGTAGAAGTTCTTTAATGGCACTGAGGTTGAACTTATATCGTTCGCAATCACATTAGGATTCTTTTGTGGCACGTAAACTATAAACGGTTTTTCAGAACTGGCAGGAGGTTTTGTATTATACACCGTTTCTGGATAATCATAAATCACAGACACTGACAACGGCTTCGAAGTGAGTTTTGTACGTGTTTTCTGGACAGGTTTTTCCGTTTTCGGTCTCGTCGTTATGTCTTCGTGAAGATTTTGAACTCGGACAGGCTGTCTTAAAGGAAGGCGTTGTGATTTCCTAGATTTTTGAGTCGTAGTATCAACAGTCGGCGGAACAACGAACGTAGTAGGAGTTTCAGTCCTGATTGATTCAGTCGTTGTTGTCCTTGACTTGTACTTATTACGTTGAAGAGTATGAGAAGATGTTGGTCTTGTCGTCTTATTGCGAATTGCGGGTCTAGTGGTTTTTGTATTTTCGGTTGTTGTGATCACTTTTTCTTCTAAAGGCGCAAAGAAATCTGGTGGAGGTGGTAATACAATTCCAGGTACTAATGGTCCTGCTGGCACTTTACTTTTGTAGTCAGTGTGGTAAGAAAAATTGTAAGGCGGCGGATAGTAAATCGAAGGGTCGTCTTCGTCGTACAGGTCGGATTGGTTGCTCGGTGGTGGAAGGAACGCCGCGCCCGGTGGAAAGCCTTCTGGAAAAGAGCCGTTTATGGATGCGGGGAAGGGAAATGCTCCTTCGCTCGCATTCCCGGGTAGGAATGGGAACGTAGGACTTGGCTGCGGCGATCCCCCGGAAGTAGAGTTTCCCGGATTATCACCTTCGGAATAGGACGCTCCCGGTGGGAATGGGAATGGCGCTGGAGGTAAAGCTTCTTCGCCTTCTCCCGTAAAATAGGAAGGGAAAAGGGACGCAGGGATACTACCGTTTGGCGTGAGGAAAACGAGCGGTCCGTCGTCGGAGAGTCGTACTGGAAAGGGCGGTGGCACTTTAGGCTTTTGCGGGAGCTTTACTTGCCTGTTAGGCGCTTCGTAGTCGTCGATCGGTGGCCAAGGCTTACGATCTGTTTCCTTAGTGCGTTCAGGGAAGGAACCTCCTTTGAGAACTAAAAGGTGGTCTTCAGCAAGCCAAATTTCATCTTTCTTGAGACCTCCTAAGCTTTGAAGATTATCTTTCGTTCGTGTCTCTGCGTTTAGCTCATAGCTGACTATACCAGGCCTTTTAGGGGTTTTCATAAATATTTCATTTTGAATGAGACCATATTTTCCCTCGGCCACCTGATCGGATAAAGTCTTCTTATCTTCGTCGTCTTCTTTTGTTTTTGCCACGTCCTTTCCTTCGCCGGCGCTGGACATGAGCATGCCATCGTCCCAGATGCCTTGATTCCAACCTACGTTACTGCTTGACTGGTCGGAAACTATCACACCAACAAACTTGCCGCTATCATTTTTATCATCGCTGGAAATTGAATTTTTCGCAGCACCATATTCTTTTTCAGGTTTAATCTTCATATGACCACCAACAAGTCGCTTGATTGTACGTTGGGATTCGGCACCGTCTGTGTCTGGGGGAGCGCCAAGGCTTCGCTGGTCGCGCACGAATGAGTCAGGTGGCAATGCATATCTAGGCACGAGTACACTTGCTCGGACCACGCACACCCACGCCAGCGCCAGCGTTAGCGCCAACGTCGCCCCTCTCACCATCTGAAAATTAGTAAAACACCATATGTTTAGAAAAATCGCCAAATAAACGAATCCATTATCACTATTCCATTAATGTAATAAACTTATCTATGTGGGAGTTTCTTTGCGATCAAACCGCGCGTTGTTCATGAACGAATTAAGTGAAAGGATGGAGACAAAAACCTCGTACAGTGATTTTGGTACTAACGCGGCGCGCGCCACCACCCGCTATTTATTAAGTCCGTTGAATGACCACCTCCGACCCGACTGGCATTGAGAATCAAGCGTTTAATTGGAAATTGAATGGCAAATTAACACCAATGAGACACGAAGGCCGCGAAGCCTAAATTCGAATGAAAAAAAAAGATATCCGCCATTAACTTGACTACTTCATCGTTTGATATTGAAGTGATCGATTGTTATTAACGACATGCGAAGAACGTGAATTCAATAAATAAAATGCGCAAAAAGTAGATAGTATTTAAATAAAAAAACGATAGTAAGAGCTGCGCAACCTGATCGCTATGTTAAAGTCACGAAATCGTGCTCAAGGTTTATTGAAACTTAAATAGTTGGCTTAGTTTATTCATAAAATAACGTAAATGTGTCTATATAAAGCGGAAAGAGATGCAGGTGGTACTCGCATTACTGCTTCAAAATGATATAAATTCACTATCTAATGTACGGTTCGAATGTGTCATACACAATATCGACTAAGTGGAATTATTAGGGCAGTGAAGGCAAAGTCACGGGTTGTATGTATACAGTGGGTGTGCCCACCAGGGCTCTGTGAAAGGCACCTAACTCGGTCGATTTCGCCTTCGAAAACATAAACTAGTTTAACTCGTAATTGTGAACTATATTTATATCCCTGTTATTATTAATAGATAGTTGTATCAAATTATAGGGAAACTCGACTTATTTCTACTTTCCTGTTACGTATTTTACAATTATTTTGATCGACCAAATTATAGATTATAGAAAAAAGTAAAAATCGTCAATCAACTTTTAACAACGGGCATTCTGGTATAAAATCAGTTTGTCTATGTAAAATACGTTTGGAGCCCGTAAAAAATTAGGAATTTGAAATAAATTCAATTTCGCGAAAATACGAAACAAGTTTCACTTACGAATAACTGACTGCTGAATTGTAAAGTTCATTGCAAATATTGTGGCCTGACATTTGGCGTGGTATCATCGCGGTAGCATCCTTTCATTTGCGATACCCGGTTAACCTTCATATCTTCGTACCTTTGTCACTATTATTTCGAACTAAAACCTACTATGAAACGTGTATTGTTATTGTAATTATACGACATGAGCAATGGAGACTAAGCCAAATGCAAACGCGCGGCCTTGTCGTAGCAAGGTGCCCGATTTTTTTTTTGCGGTCAACACAAAACGTGCGGTGATTAACCAACTTGCAGTTTGGGAGTGTCTTTGCGGCCGTAGCTTTCAACAATGCAGCGCAACCTTGCGCACTGCAATCGAAAAATAATTTATAAACTTAGTGCAAATTCAAAAGCTTTCTTTACGTTTCTACATTCACCGCCGTGCTGTTGGGAAATTCTCTCGGGTGATGCATTGTAAACGATTTGTATTCATCGCTTGGCAAAGGTGTCGGCAACTTTCCACCTGTCTTTGTTTGTTTGGTAGTACACTACGGTCAGGGCATATTTCATGTGTCGCAAAACTTTCCAAACCGACACGAATCAATACAGTTATAAATGTTAGTGCGTACAAAACAGTATTGCGTACGCACAAAGACTGTAATTCTCATGATTATCGAGATAAGTCGCCGGCAAATTAAGGTCTAGTACGAACAATAATTGCATGCATTGCTCTCCTTGAGTTCACGGAACGACGGAAAACTTAACNAGGGCATATTTCATGTGTCGCAAAACTTTCCAAACCGACACGAATCAATACAGTTATAAATGTTAGTGCGTACAAAACAGTATTGCGTACGCACAAAGACTGTAATTCTCATGATTATCGAGATAAGTCGCCGGCAAATTAAGGTCTAGTACGAACAATAATTGCATGCATTGCTCTCCTTGAGTTCACGGAACGACGGAAAACTTAACGTTAATTTATTACACGACAAACACAACGCAGGTATTTATTAGATGGAGTAACCGGCAACCACTCCTTTATGTCCGGCATGCGTGTACATAAAAATGGTGAAATAGTTTTATTCGATCGATAATATTAAAGAATAACACGACGAAATCCATTTTTTAATGCTTCCTCTTATGATTTATAAAAAAACATCACATTGTTTAATGAAGACAATATTTTTTGCAAACTTTAAGAGTGAAATGCAAAGCGAAGAGTGGGGATGAATTTGAGGCGAAGATCGCTGACTCAGTAGTAAGATGTTATGTAAAACAAGTGTATTTTTGACCGCGTAATTTTTTTTATTGCTTAGATGGGTGGACGAGCTTACATCCCACCTTGTGTTAAGTGGTTACTGGAGCCCATAGACATGTACAAGGTAAATGCGCCACCAACCTTGAGATATAAGTTCTAAGGTCTCAAGTATAGTTACAACGGCTGCCCCACCCTTCAAACCGAAACGCATTACTGCTTCACGGCAGAAATAGGCAGGGTGGTGGTACCTACCAGTGCGGACTCAGAAGAGGTCCTACCGCCAGTAAAAATTATACTGTTATAATCAAAATGTTCACCCACGAAGACATGCGAAAAGTTGCTCTACATACGTAAGACATTTACTCAACCCCGTTAAATCCTGTTTGTCTCCGTGCGTTCGATTCTTACGAAACTGTAACGATTGAGTGCCCAACAGCGGCACTGTTGCCTTCGGGCGGTTCGAATTGAAACATTAATCTAGCCCTAAGCTGTTAAACACGGACACGTGCTACAGTGAAACGATTAACTTGAAAACTTACACTGATTGTTACTGGATAGTTAATGTTAATGGAACACGCACGTTCTTAGCGTTATTTAAGGTCGATCAGGGTTCACACCATTTTAATTTCTATTTAAAATTTTCAAGTCAACAGTAATAATAATATTACATTACCACATTACTTTCTGAACTTTCTTTGTCATGTTACAAGTTTATGTTATTGCCAGCCTGGCCTCGCTAATATCCATATATTAAAGAAGAATAAATAAAATACACAAAACTTGTCTAATAACAGTGATTCGTTGTAATGAAATGCATTATCAAAACAATTTCTATTTTTCATTATAAGATAAAAGTATCTCTGTCAACCCTGTTTGTTGCAGCATTGCGTGGTGGCGCGTGCCGACTCAATGATCTACGACCTCATTAACCATGCTTTTATTTCGATCTTCCGATCCATCAGCTTTACCACATGTGGAGCCTTTAGTTTGCATCGCAAATTAATGATCTGAAACTAGGCTACAAGCGCATTTAATCAGCCCATTAAATGTTACGCAACGAATAATTAATGGTGAGGTTTTATAAGCAGCTCAAGATATGCCTTGTTATAATCAGGTCTTTTGTGAGTTCTTTTTAAAACAGCTTATAGGTATAGAGATTCCGCGAGAAAAGTTTTTATCTCTGCATAGTTTGAAGAAGCACTTACGTTACCAACGATTACGTAGGAAAAAAACGTAATTTATGTCATGGATTGCAATTACCTATGCTCGGATATCATTCGCGGCCAAGGCAAATCATCCTAGTCTTTAAACCTGTTCTAAACTACATACCTGCGGCTACTGTTATATCATCGGCTACATATTTCAGCATAACATTATTTTAATAAAATTTAGTACTTTGTTATTGTAACAAGAATGAAACTAATTTATTATAATCTCGTATTCATGTGGGAATCACTTTGTACTCTTTTTATTAATTTAGATTAACTATCTAGCGAAATTTAGTAATAGATCTGATTTTATCGTATAGTTTGTGCAAATATATAAGATTAAGTTTTGTTGCACAATAACTTGTTGTTACATCGGAATGCGTGGGTATTTTATCGGTACGAAACAGTTATTCTGTGATGTTAATTGTCTATTGAATTTTCATTTATATACCGAATCATTGATACCCTGAATTCTCCAGCGGTTAGAGTTTATCGTGCTAAGAACACGAAGGTTGTTTCCAAAGAAATTTATTATCGGAAAGGCGCACATGTGGTCTTGGGTCATTCCATAGTGAGTTCTGTAAAGAATTCACACTTCATATTCTGTCATGTGCTCTATTGTGGACACGGCAATGATTGATATGCGTTGCCTTCGAAAAATTCAAGGTTCTGCAAGCACATTAAGCAATACATAACATAAAATACACTATATTTAGTACTACACTTGAGAACGCTTTCGACACATTGGGACGTCGACATATATATTTTGTTCACAAATTATATACATAGTTATGTGTTTAGGTTCCACCCTTGAATTTAAAAATAACATTTGCCTCGACGGAATGAATGTCAGATGCTTCCGCGTTGACCCGTTTAGGCTTTATACTTGATCTCGATCCACATTTCAAAGATGTCATGACGAGTGTTATTAATTTTTATGGCTCAGAAACCTTGAGATAGAGGAAGTTCGTTTTATACTAAATCTTAAATCGATTGAAAACTTAATAAAAGTTTTGTTGTTGTTGTTTTATTTCATCTAAATATTTGTCTACGTATCAAAGCAAATAAAACAATACGTGATGTTCTTTTGTAATGTGCACGCTTTCTTTTCATTGTTGTGGTGTGACTTTCTTGTTCTTTGTTTCGTAATTTCATGGAGTCGGTCTCCGATTGTACATATTCTTTAGTTTAACGCCCGGTTCAAGTTTCTCGTGTCATCCACGGGTAATTGGCGACATATCAACTATGAATTAATTATACGACACGTTAATCACGAATGAGTGACCAAAAACTTTGTTTTTCTTCTATTCTACCTTCATCCAATTGACATTATTCACAAACTTTCACGGTAAATGATGCGTTACGTAAACTTGTGCTATTTGTTAGGTTATAACGTCAAGAAGAATATAAGACGTGAACGAATAATGATTTAATTAATATTTATTTCTCTTATTGCAGGTAAGCCGCAAGCGGTTAGTGTTATTTCGGTAAGTTAAGTTCCTCAGCTTAGATTACTAATATCGTATTAAACTGGGAGGAGTTCGCGTACCGTTCGAGTGAAGTAAACACCAATTAACTGATTTCGAATAGATTATCCGCGGTTATTAGTTACTGTATTGTTTAATATGAGCGTCTCTTGTGCAATTATTGCGAAATGAATTCCGGCGTTCTGGTATACCTTTTGGTGATTTTCGGAGCGTGGCGGATAATAGGCAACCTTTAGATTGCACCCGAGTCCTTCGGCACGACTCGTGCGAGGAAATGCTGCATATTTTAATAGTTTGTTTTGTAACAATTTTTTTAAGCAATAGCGATCGTTTAGCTATCTGTTAGATTATCGCCGAACGAAATTACATTCAAGGCGAAACTTACTACCTGTTGTTAATTGTGATAGGTATGACAAGATTTTTATACGCCTGCGCACTGGTCTTCCTAATTGCTTTGAACGTGTCGATTGTTCAAGCCTCAAATTCTATAGCAAATAAATATCAAACAACTAAAGGCTCTGCGGTTTCATAAATTTCGTTTACCAAACGATCTTATACCGGTTTCATCTAAGTACCACCAAACATTGCTTTTTTTGTTGCACTTAATACGCCGAACTTTTCATCAAATCGAGCCGGATATCACTTTTTTGTTAACGTATGAATTAACGAATGACGTAATCGTATGTGTTTATAATGCTCTTGTACCTGTAGTGTATTATTGAATACGTATGACTTGCTAGCAATTGTATTTTCATTTGATATATGTAAACATGATTGAATAGGTTATTGGCACTTGGAAGTGCAAACATTCGTAAATTTTATTACGATGACGGAATCGCTTCGTTTTGTTTCCTTGAATCTCGATATGCGGCGAATGGTTTTTTCATATATTTATGAATATCATTAGTAGTGTTATAATTCAATCGAATTATAATAATAAATTGAATGTAAGGAAGGTCAAGGCGAATCGTGTACATGAGCAATGGCTTAAGTATCTCGGGAGTGTCAGACAGATCGCGGTGGTTGGTAGCTGATGTGTCATCGGTGCGCGTTCTCATTTCTTCCTTGCTTTATCACCTTTAACATTGGCATTTTGACCGTGAATTGGCCATCAAGAATACTTTACAGTAAAATGATTATTAAAAAAAACAATTCCAGCGTTGTAAGTCACTTGACATGTCAAAATTTATACGAAGAAAAAGTATACAAAGTCGATTTCGTGTTAAAGTAAGTGTTAGTTAATTTTAGGGACACCGAGACGATTAAGTGTGAATTAAGCTAGGTTTCTTTTCAATTTATCTCGTAGTAAAAAAAAAACAGATTTTTTTATGAAAATGCTAGAAATGTTATAGAATATCAGAATTTACATTTGTCATTAATTTAATTTATTATTGTAGTGTACTTCTGCAGTGTGTTTGTTGAATTGAATTTTATCAGGAAATATTCTAATTAGATAAAATATTTTCGAACAGGATGTAAAAATCGTCTGATTAATGATCACTAATACTTAGTTCGTATCTAACTTGTTCTCTTAACATGTTATTATGGTTTGTGCTTATTGCATGTAACATTTATGATATTTGATGTTGAATATTTTCTTGCAAAATAGTATAGTAATTACGTATTGTATACTTTCTATTTGACAAGTAGGTGCTGATTTTAACTAGTTTTCGAGTTTAACATACTCTTTCTGCACAAGAAAGTGAGGATATAAAATATATATTGAGGATATAAAATATATTGAGGATATAAAAGTGTCATGGTAATTGTGTTTTGGAGGTTCTTCAACGAGGATCTTCCACCAAGAGGGCTTCGTTGCTCGATAGCCCGTTCGTCTCTTGTTTCTGTCAAATGTCTCTTACTACATGATAGCAGCCGCTAAGGTGCTTAGTTTATTTATTTCCTTATTAAAATTGAAAATAATGAATGGCGTTCACACGAATCAGCGGACGTGTGAAACATATTATCATCGCGTCTTTTAGTATACTTGTATCTTTTGTATGGTGTATTTTCTATATCTGTGTAAAATGTTTTAGTGTTTATTGCGCTTGCATGTTATATACACTTGGTTATGTCACAACGCGTAGCGGACTTTCGAAGGCTGAGCGGTGCTTTCATTCGTTCTGCTCGTGATATCCGAAGATATTGATTGTGATCGTACACGGATAGTTTTGTTGAATGAACTCACAAACGTTTTTGTTTTTTAACACGACACATACTAATCGAGTTGAATATCAATAAAGTTCTAGAATAAACATCCAAACCGTTGCTCGATATCCGCATGTTAATGTGCATTTAAATTTATGTTTCGATCTCTTTGGTATTTGTGGCATTTCGTCTTAATTTTTTTATTATTTGGAATCTCATTAGGCAACCAGTGCCATCCGGTACGTGACGTAACTTCAGCAATTCGATCGGATTCAAAGAGGCACGAAAACATTTGTAAGAATGAAAAAAAAATGTGTGCGCCTTCGTCCGTGCTTAAATAGGTCCGGTTGATTTTGTATTCCGCTATCGGTAACTTTGATTTTACGTGTGCGACCGACAATCTTATTGTTTTGTTTTTATACATATATTTTTTTTGTCATTGGAATTCCCTGTGAATTTGAATAGATGCTGTGTTTGTTATGCGATGACGAATATCTTTAAAAATTCGAAGTTTATTCACGTTACGTGTTCATTATTTCGATACAAGAAAATCTAGTGTCGAAGCGACGTAATATTTTATTTTACACGCTAACTAGCAAACTAATCGAGGATAAAATAATAAAAGATAATTCTAAGAACGTGTATCATGAATTTTAATAACAAATTCATTCATAGATCTTAGCTTCGTTACGATGCGGTTTATCTTGTAATCAATTTGTAAGTTTGAGAATTATAAAGCGCGTTTATTATTTGCAGAACGTGATGTTAGTTTCTAGTCAGAAAAATATACTCCAGTAAATTTTTGTCTAATGATGGTCGAATATGTTTTTTTAAATATTCGATCATGAAATTATTTCGTAACCACTATGTGGTAAATAGTTCTCAAACCTTTGTTTAAACGTTCTCACAGCTGTTTTTAAAAAGCGTCATTGCATTGACTACGGTAACGAAGGCTGTATTCTGTGAAACTAAAAATATTTATCTGGCATGTCGTGATATCAACTTCATTGTTTTACACTAGACATATTGTTGAAATGGACCAAGACTCGCGCGTGAGATCTAGGTCGAAAACTCAACAAATATAATTGTTCCCGTAATACTAAAGCACGTATAATTTGTAAACAGTCACAAGCTTACATTTAATCTTATCTGGCTGAGGCTGCGACTGTAAACACTTCTTCTGTAACACCCTTCAGCACATCACACGTTGAGAAAGTCACTTGCACTATAGTTTGTTCACTGGTAGAGTCACTGGCACATAATGCGGGGGTTGTCGTCGGTTCCGTCGAGTGCGTAATGCTTGTGTCGAGGGTCGCGTAGAGTGGTGGGGTGCACGTGTGATCGTGAGGTCGAGCGGCGCATGAGTGGCGGCGGTGGTAGGGGGCGCCGGTGTAAATACGGCGGCGGTAGCGCGTGCGCACCGCTCACGCACACATTGAAGCTCTCTGTATGTATAGCAGTGTGACATCAAGTCCTGTGCGCCATGACGCGTACGTACCAAGGGCCGGTCATCCAAATGACGATCGCGGAGTCGATCATCAGAGAATCCTAACCCACGTTAACGGATGTAATGTTTAGGTAACGATCAAGATTATACTCCGCACGCGTAAGAATTATTATTCATATTTCGTGATGTAAACGCTTCGTTTGGTTACGCATATATTACATGTACATTCATTGACCAGTAGTACAAATTGTGCTTAATTAACTGAAACATATTGCTTATCTTAAAACCCGTTTTTAATATTAGTTTTTTATGGCCATATACATAGTGTGTAGCCAACCAAATTCCTCGTCACCATGACGCCACAGCGTGAATGCTACACCTTGAGATATGAGGTTGAAGTGTCAATTGCATTGAAATAATTTGTACCTTAATCTTTTCAAGTGAGACGCATGATTGTTTTGTAGTGAAAATAGAAGATTATTATGCCGATCGATGCGTTATTTAAAACTAGCTATATCACAATATAGGTATTTTCATAATATCAATAAGGGTAGGATGAATTATATACATATTTGAAATAATAAGAAATGCCTTTTCAGCCGATCAGAAAAAAACCTATTTTAAAAATGAGAATAGTTAAATCTAGAGAATGTAATTTCCGTTTAAATATTGTGTATTGTGGTTAACCGAAACAGGCTTATTTAAAGAGATTCAGCGTCATTTCCTATTTTAACATACCTATGACACTCGATCATCGTAGTTTCTAGAAAGCGTTGGTCTCTCAATAATTTCATAAATTGTATGGTTTGTTAGAGTTACATTGACCCGGCGAAAGTTAAGGTAACTTTCTGATTCATTGCGATATAAAGGTCAAGACAATTCGACAGTGAACGGGTTCGGTTGAAACTTTACAGATTTCATCTTTCTAGCGTTATGTCTAACAAAGAAAGACTAAAATTCTACAAGTCTAAATAAGTAAATAATTGTTAGGCAGTAAACGTTTTTACATGTAGTAATAGTTGTTAGTAATTGAATTTTGAACTGCATCATCGATATTACACACCTAATAGAATTTCTCATGAACGGTACGAAACTAATTCGATTGTGTCAGAAAAGATTTAATCTATTTATATTTTAGAAGTAATTTACACGGAATCTGATTAGTCGACTTAGATATATATATCATCAATTCAAACGACGATTTCCTGTTTGTGTTGTTTTCCCCGGTTTTCCCCGGAGGACCAACTGGTCCTCCAGTTGTTGCCTAGAATACCAATCTCACTTGTACCTCATCTAGTCACTAATCTACTGATGTCGTCACCTTCAAAATGCCCATGAAACATCTCCTTGTTTTTAGACTTCCTTGTGAATCCAATACACTTATCGATCAATCTTTTAGAATACGTGTCACCGTGAAATTTTTATCTCACTCATTATGTGAAGGTTATAATCTAATATCTAAAAAACATTCGACCAGTTTCAATTAAGGAATACGTCGATCGATGTTTAAGAATTTACGACGTTCGGAATTTAGCATATTTATTAAACGAACGTCACTAGTATTATCGGAATTTTATGATATTTCAAGTCCGCGTTGCGCAAGTGTCCCAGACGAGTCATCGACACCGGCCGGCGTCCTCGGAAGGTCGTATGGATCCCATATCTGAGGCAGCGCATTACCATAATAATATCTTTTCGGCGATCTTGTATCATTTGTTTATGTCGCGTTTTATAAAATGTCCCGGATCTAGTTTTTACAAGGACTATGCGCTATCGTTATGCATGTTAAGTTATTGTCGTAATAAGTATACTTTCTTAATGTTATTTATTTATCACGCTCGAGCATCGTGCAGAGTTTTTCATTTAGTCGTTTATATCCTGTTATAGAGTTTATTTAATGTTGCCGTGTCTAGATTATAACGACGATTTAAATATTTCTTTGGATTGGAATTAAAATTAACGATTGACCTGTTATGATGGCTTGTAAATAATGCACCAATCCACTTCTATTTTAAACATAATTAGCACGCTCTTCGATGCTCTTCAAAGCTATTTAGATTTAGTTATGCTTGTTGCAACCGTTGATAATATTGTGGGTTACAAAAAACAGACGATTAACATTTAGTTGATTACTTAAACTGTATTTGTATTGTTTCCACACAGTAAAGCCGTTGAACACGTTCAGAAGCACTTTCTTGATGTTCTGTAATAATTCTCTCGGGTTACGGATGAGTTTTTTTTTTTAGATGTGTGGACTAGGTTACAGCTAGTTACCGCTAGTTACTGGAGCCCATAGACATCTACAACCTAAATGCGTCACACACCTTGAGATATAAGTTCTAAGATCTCAGTATAGTTACAACGGCTGCCCCACCCTTCAAACCGAAACGCATTACTACTTCACCGCAGAAATAAGCGGGGCGGTGGTACCTACCCGTGCGGACTCACAAGAGGTCCCACCACCAGTAATTACGTAAATTATAATTTTGCGGGTTTCATTTACACGTATTCTATTTTCGGTACGGAAATTATTTTGATTTTTAACTCTGTCGTTTGACGGCTCAAGTCGGCCGGCGGTAGTACCACGTAGCGCCATTGGGCGAAGCTCGTTTATTATTTTGATTGTATTTTTTTCTCGGAATCGTGTTTAGTTGGTGTCGCCGTGGCGCGGCTGTACCACATTCCACGACACCGAGGCGCTCGTCGACTGACCGTTTGACCACTTCATAAACTTTGAAGGCCCTACTACCATTTTAGGATGGTCGGAGCACGTGAATTTATCCGAATACTAATCTACCGTATCAAAGAAACTTTATATGCAACGTATTTCTTACATTTCACTCAATGCACAAACCCTTTATACATTTAAATAAGCGAAGACAAATCATTTTCTCCTCTGTAACCATACAATGTATTTTTAGAAAATTAGTTTATTTATTTATTTCATTTATTTATTTCAGTCACAAAGCTAAAGATAATGTTATGTATCACTACATAGTATAAAACAAAGTCGCTTTCTCTGTCCCTATATCCCTATGTATGCGTAAATCTTTAAAACTCCGCAACGGATTTTGATGCGGTTTTTTTAATAGATAGTAATTGAAGAGGAAGGTTTATATTATGTATAATAACATCCATTAAATAGTGGAGAAATCAATAATAAATTACAGTTTCCGACGCGAAGCGAGGGCGGGTCGCTAGTATTATATATACATCAAATGTATTTAAATCTTGAAGGTATCCGTGATTATGGAATTTCGAACAAAAGTATTTAATTTTATACAAAACTAGCGACCCGTCCTCGCTTCGCTTCGGAAACATTAAAACACACATGAAACAAAAAAAAAAAAAAAAGTAGCTTATGTTCATCAGGGACAATAGTCGGACAAAGTCGGCTTCTAATGGAAAAATAATTTTTCAAATCGGTCCAGTAGTTTCGGAGCCTATTCGAAACAAACAAACAAACAAATCTTTCCTCTTTATAATATTAGTATAGATTTGCATAAAATTTGTTATTTATTGAAACAGTATTCATTATATCTTTATAAAATTATTGTCATACTGGGATCGTGAAATTTTCCTCTATTTTCCCTACGAATGATTTCATCAAATGGGCGCCAGTGTGTCACGTCACTTAATGGGTATAGTATTTATTCGTTTTCTCGGAATAGTACATACTTTGTACCGTAATTGTGCGTTTCGTGTCTTTAACCGTAGTGAATATCAAATAAAATGACCAGCTGTGTCTAATAATAGCCCTTCTGTGAAATGTGGAAACGTCAGATTCTATACACAATATCCGTTGGGTCTTCAGTATTGAGTTTTGTTTTCTTAGTTGATGTTGAGTCGTGAATTGGCAGTTCCATTTTGGATTTTAGTAACAATCACGCCACATTAACTGGGCCCGTGCTAAGTTCATAAAGAACTTGTGTTACAGGTGCCAGATAACGGAAATAAAGGTAAGATTTTTATTATACACATACATATATTTAATATACATCCATAACCCTGGAAAAGACTTTATATTTATCATACAAATATCTTCCCTTGGCGGGATTCGAACCCGCGACCCCCTTGTGTAGTGACCATGTCACTTACCACTACACCAGACGGCCGTTAAGTAAGAGATGATCTAATCAGTTCAGGTGATTTTTATGTCGTCCCAAATTTTTTTTTTTGCTTAGATTGGTGGACGATCTCACAGCCCACCTGGTGTTAAGTGGTTACTGGAGCCCATAGACATCTACGTCGTAAATGCGCCACCTTCCTTGAGATATAAGTTCTAAGGTCTCAAGTATAGCTACAACGGCTGCCCCGCCCTTCAAACCGAAACGCTTTTTTTTAGTGCTAGATGGGTGGACGAGCTCACAGGCCACCTGGTGTTAAGTGGTTACTGGAGCCCATAGACATCTACGACGTAAATGCGCCACCCACCTTGAGATATAAGTTCTAAGGTCTCAAGTATAGTTACGACGGCTGCCCCACCCTTCGAACCGAAACGCATTACTGCTTCACGGCTGAAATAGGCAGGGCGGTGGTACTTACCCGCGCGGACTCACAATAGGTCCTACCACCAGTAGCTTTAGATTAGAACTTCATACTTGCCTCTGTCGAATTATCGTATCGGAATTATAAAAAAAACCCCCGTTGAATTCGCTAGTTGCGAAATTTTCACCGAAATCTCATTTAAAAGTCGAAAAGACAACTTGAATGTATTTTTTGCGAATTGCAAGTAACATTATTAGGGGTATCACGTACACCCAGCGCGGCGCCGTCTGTCCAGCTCGCTAAAACTTTTTAGTGCATCCACTTGAATTATGTAACACGATATTCATGAGTTGTTTTGCTTTAATTCTGTTCGAGACATATACTATTTTGTATGTTTCTTTTGATGCGGTGATGTTATTAGTAGTTCTTTGGTACAACGATGTTTAT